CATGAAAGATCCAAAGTCGCGCATCATGCGTTTGAAGGCATCTGTGGCACCCAAGATCTCGAAACTGCAGGCCTCAGTTGGGGCGCTGGGGCCGAGCACAGCACTCCTATGCTGCAGTTCGAAACGTGCATATGGATGTATATGGGATGTTTGCCAACATTGGCCAAGATGATTTTAAATATGTTAAAGAAAAAGTGACCGAATTGACCCAGCTGTAACATGTATGTAGTGAGTTATACCATACACGGAGCACTTGGGTTTCGAAGCACGGCACGTGGTTACACCAATCTAAACATGGTGCTGCGGTGCTGCGTTTCCAGATCAAGCACCCGCCCAAGCAGCGCAAAATCATTGTAATTATCGTGCATCTTTGAAAGTTCTTGAACAAACCAACATTGTCTGGAATAGCTTGCGTCCAGCGCATGATGATCCTTTTATTTTTTCCTTTGATGCCCAACTGGTAAGCCATGTCTGTGTGTTCTTTACCGCTTCCCATCCAGGGAGGAACAGCACTAATTATGGACGTCGGCTCAAGATGTCACCCACAGAGGGTCCCACCCAGCCACAAGATGTTTCATTTAAGTATTCATCGGATATTTTACCATCAAGTCGATTCTGCAACATGTATCACGCCAAATAACCAAGTACCTATCAACCAGCCACGCAGTCTTGCCCATTAGATTCCCATATTTGCAGCTGACCTCCTGTTCTTATGGCTTGAGGATGAACTTCGATTCACAACTGTCATCATGCACACACACCGGCACATCCGCTGGCTCTCCCTCTCTCACGGTGTGTGTGTGTGTGTGAGTTTCAACAGGCAATTGCATACACACACACACACATATATATATATATACAGTAATCATATATACACACACATATATCTAATATAGACATAATATACACATAACCATAGTACACATAATATCACATAAACACGTATGAATTTGCATCATCATTAATCATTATTACGCATGCTTTTTTCATCCACCCGTCTCAACGCCAACCCAACGCAGAAAACAGCGGCATCGAACAGCAACGACATGTTGGACTCCATCCCAGCCCGTGGTGTTTTCAACGGTGCCACGTCCGCTGCTTCCTGGAGATGATCTCAGGGAGAGGCCTAGGAGTCTAAGATGTCATCACTTCTCACTCTGTTGTGGAAACTGATGCCAACTATAGACTCGACTATAATTCAAAATCTATTCAAGATTTACAGGACCCACTAAGATATACTATATAGGATCCCAAATGAATCAAATCTTGTAGGTCAACAAAAAATATCCTGATGTATACACCCTAAGAGTCCTCCCAATGGCAAACAAAGGTGGTTAGGAATCGACCTTTGTTAGGCGTGAACAACCTTTGTTTGCATCCCTGCCTTGGAAGGTTGACCATGTCGTGCTCAAGATGAGGTTTCTGTGTCCAATCCACTACTTATTATGCGACTCAAAATGGTTGAAAATGGACAGTTGATGGGTGTTGGGATATATTCACATGATATCCTACATTGTTTTGAAATTAAATGTGGAGATTAAAGGTGGTCCAATTAACGACATGTCTTTGCATAGTTGGAACCCTAGGGTACATGTACTATACATGCAGTATATATTTCCATCATATTCTGGCACATCTGATGTCTTCTGGACCCGTCATTGCGCACACCCGGGGTGACGGACAGGTTTGCCATCAAGATAGAGCAGGATCATAAAACACAGTATGGAACAGTCTTCTGCGACTTGACTTTGTGTTCAGCAAGTCATGGGATTTTGGCAGCAAGTCCCCACCTGTAATTCTCGCATGCCCACCAAACGGCAGGTCTGCTGATCTTCGTTTCGGAACCTTGGCAGAGTCATGCAGAGTCCAACATGATCCAACCATCCAACTGGACAGAAAAGACAAGCGACGAGGTATGAAGTAGCTCCAGTTGCACGGTGCTGCCTCGGAATCGCCGTATCAGAATCAGGCTCCTGGTGGTGTAGGTGGTGATCAACAACCCATAAGCCTCATGAAAAATGATGAAAAATGGACATCCCAACAAGCCTCGACATGATCTGTCACAAATCTCTACAGGGTCTAATTTCACCAAAACAAGTCAGTGACAAGCAGCATATGGACATTTGAACCCCATCATATTCCTATATTCTATCCCATATCCGCATCATATCCCTTAATATCCCATACGCCCATAGTATTCAATGATTTTCCCTTTGCACCCGATGTCACGAAAAATATCCCCACCCCACAAGTCCCATCCCCTAAAATCCCATTTCTCGGTGCCACATATTCCCATTGACATCCCATTGGATGTCGAAACAGCAGGGGTCTCCCGCTGCCGAGAGGCCCAAAGCGTCCACCATCCGCGCCGACACGCGAGAGGTGACACTGGTGGAACATAAAGAACTCTTGAGCACTCCGCGGTCCTGACATCGGCCCTACTCGTCGTGTTTGTCCAAAAACTGTCCTACCTACGACTTCAACAAACACACGCGCACACACACACACACATATAATTGCATGTATATGTTTCTCTTATATGTGATTTATGTTTTCAAAAGTTAATTACATAAACAATAAATGTATACTAATCATATACATATATAATACATACATGCGTGGAAAGAACACTCGTTGCCTCCGGAAATTATCTCAACAAATATTTACTGATGTGTATGAAGTTCTGAAGAGGAAATTGCGGTAATATAGACAAACAATGACAATATGTTTTATTACGGCTTGCTAGTCGGTAATAGTTCATTGGCCATAGTACTTGTTTGGTCTATCACTCCAGACTCACTTATGTTGACCTCACACCTAATGGGTTGGCTTTGGTCTGGACATACTATGTTATTAGAAATCCATCACTGTTTTAAAATGTTTTAGACATGTTCCCCAGATCCACCAAATTTATCAAACAAGGTTTATTAAGCCAGGATTGACATTGTCCCGTATGCCGTATGCCGTACAAAATGCTGAATGGGGGATAACAAATCTATGCGGCATCCCCAAACTAAAACAACCTTGGTCTTATTATTGTATATAGTGTTTCTCGGTATTCTTTCCACTCTTGCCACTAAAATGTCACTAAAATCCCAACTACATCGTGGTAAACTCAACGATGAACCATCCCCACTGCCACTTAAATGGCTGGTAAGAACCATCTTGGGTTTACCACATTGGTTAGCGGATTCCGGCGGCCCGCCTCCTCGAGGAAGAGCCGCAGAAACTCACTTCCCATGAGATTCGGCGGCGGACTCCCGAGGCTACGCCTCGAAGAAAACCCACGGCGGCTTTATGTGATCTTTAGCCATTTCCGCTGAATTATGGAGTTGTGGCTATACTGGCAATACTGCACCGTATGATCTATGATCTATGTGTATATTCAAACCCAAATGTATACATGCAGTCATCAGACTTGGTGGCCATTTTTCAAGGTCCTCCACTTCTCAGGCACCCCAAAAACATAATCGAGGGGCCCCACCCCGCAACGGCAAACCAGTGGGCAACCTCTGCCAAATTACAAGAGCATGGTTGACAGCTGATTCGCGGTGTTCGTAATCTTCAACTCATCATCCAGCTCGACCACCTAAGTACAGTGGAACTGGGTGCCAACCTTGAGGATCACTGAAGAATGCCGGATGTGGGGCACATTGGTGGCCCATCTAAGGACTCTGGGCCTGAAATTTTGAGAACTATTTTTCTTGGGTTTCCCAGGTGGTTTGCAGGCATTCCATCTGCATTGTAAAGTTTTTCCCCAAGGATGCAATTAAATGGCAGCATACATACATATTTCTACATCATTCATATGAAGAAGAAACCACAGCGTTATGTATGTATGTGTGTATGTGTGTATGTGTGTATGTGTGTATGTGTGTATGTATGTATGTATGTATGTATGTATGTATGTATGCATGTATGCATGTATGCATGTATGCATGTATGCATGTATGCATGTATGCATGTATGCATGTATGCATGTATGCATGTATGCATGTATGCATGTATGCACAGTATGCACAGTATGCACAGTATGTACAGTATGTACAGTATGTACAGTATGTATGTATGTATGTATGTATGTATGTATGTATGTATGTATGTATGTATGTATGTATGTATGTATGTATGTATGTATGTATGTATGTATGTATGTATGTATGTATGTATGTAATACCATCAGCTACTTGGCTGGGACCCTGGATCTTACACTGTAGACCCTAAAAACGGGGTCTGAAGAAGAGTTCCATAGCTAAATCAGGAAAAACAAGCGCAGTGGTCTAGACCCTTCGACTTTACAGATGCTGAAGGTCTGAAGACGTTTACCCATGCGTCAAAAATACCCAAAAAAAATGTTTCAAACAACATGTTTTCTCTCGCTCATTTTTTTCTTCGCTGCTGTCACACGTTTTTCACCAGTGCTCTTGGACTCTTGCCATGAACATCCACACTTCAGGAATGGTGCAAATCAGAAAAATTCTGAAAATTTCAGATTTTAATTAAATTCAAATTTAAATTAAATATAATATTTTCAGAAAAATCTGAAAAAATCAGAAAAAATATGATTTTCAGAAAAAACATGAAAAATTCAGAAAAATTCTGAAAAGTCCAGATTTTCAGAAAAAATGTGAAAAATTCAGAAAATTTCTGAAAATTTCAGATTTTCAGAAAAAATCTTTAAAAAAAAACATAAAAAATCGGAAAATTTCAGATTTTCAGAAAATATGAAAAATTCAGAAAAAATCTGAAAATTTCAAATTTTCAGAAAAAATCTGAAAATCAGATTTTCAGAAAAAATCAGAAAAAATCTGAAAATTTCAGTTCTCAGAAAAAAATGAAAAATTCAGAGAAAATCTGAAAATTTCAGATGTTCAGAAAATATGAAAAATTCAGAAAAAATCTAAAAATTTCAAATTTTAAGAAAAAATCTGAAAAAATCAGAAAAAATCTGAAAATTTCACAGATATTTCAGAAAAAAATAAAATTTCAGAAAAAAAACTAAAAAAATCAGATTTTAAAAAAAAAATCTGAAAAAAAAATCAGAAAAACATCTGAAAACATCAATAAGAATCTGAAAATCTTATTTAAAAAAATATCAGAAAAAATGAAAAATCAAAACAACATATAAATATATAATTTTCATAAATAAATCAAACTTACAAAAAAAACTATTTTAATGCAAGTGAATATTGAAAATAAACTATGTTTCGAAAATACTACAAATTATATTAAGTCACTGAAAAACCAATCTGTGTTGATCAGTGCCAGAAACGCTGTCCAGACCTCTGTAAGAACTGGGGAATCTAGCTTGGCAAAGGTCTAGAGCTACAATGGTCAGCAAACCCAACCTGTCCTGATGATTGCCAGAAACGCTGTCCAGACCTCTGTAAGAACTGGGGAATCTAGCTTGGCAACGGTCTAGAGCTACAATGGTCAGCAAAACCAACCTGTCCTGATGATTGCCAGAAAAGCTGTCCAGACCTTTGAAAAAACAAGATCTGCCTTACATCTTCAAAACAGAAAATTATGGGACATCCATATATCATGTCCAACATAGACACGCTCAAGGGTCTATAGTACCTTAAATGCGGAGGGTCTACAGTGCTCCTGGAAGTACTCTAGACCCTGGGCCCCTGAAGCCTGGAGGCCTGGGTACTCTAGACCTTAAGTAGTTGAGGGGATTGTATGTATGTATGTATGTAAGTATGTAAGTATGTATGTAAGTAGGTAAGTAGGTAAGTAGGTAAGTAGGTAAGTAGGTAAGTAGGTAAGTATGTATGTATGTATGTAAGTATGTAAGTATGTAAGCATGTAAGCATGTAAGTATGTATGTAAGTATGTAAGTATGTAAGTAGGTAAGTAGGTAAGTAGGTAAGTAGGTAAGTAGGTATGTAGGTATGTAGGTATGTAGGTATGTAGGTAGGTAGGTAGGTAGGTATGTAGGTATGTATCTATGTATCTATGTATGTATGTATGTATGTATGTATGTATGTATGTATGTATGTATGTATGTATGTATGTATGTATGTATCTGTGTATGTGTGTATGTGCGTATGTGTGTATGTGTGTATGTGTGTGTATGTATGTAAGTAAGTAAGTAAGTGTGTATGTAGCGCGCATGCATGCATGTATGCATTGTTTGTGTGCATTTGCAATGTGTAATGGTCACATAAAACGACACAATAATGTACATGAATAAGATATATGACAAATTTGTGCATGCAAAATAAAATCAAATATATTATAGTTATTCAATATATATATATATGTATATACACTTGTTTGCATATAATCATACACAAATCAACATGTGCAATAATAAAAAACTAATAAGCATATATAGATATACCATGATCATATATCTTTATATAAATATACATAATTATATGCACATTATTTTGTCTTATAATTGTGTAATTCATAGATAACACTATTGTTCAATACTAACGTACATACCCTCTCGTAATCAAACATGCGCGATGGACAATTCGCCATGTACTTCGAACTTCCCACTAAAACCTCCATTTTCGCTGATTTTCCAAGGCACCGCGTCGCAGAAACCGTAGAGAAGGCTGCTCACGGCACCCAGTTCGATGGAGCGCTTCTGCAAACTCAAGCTGACCCGCACCTGTCACCAGGTCCCCGAGGTCCAATGGAGGGTTTAAACATGTTTAAAGTGCATCTGAAATGGGGATATCTGGAGAATCTTTGGGGGATGAGTCCCCTTATCAACTATCATTCCAGTGGCGGCGCAGTGAGGTCGGTATAATTCATATATATATATATATACTATATACATACATGTGTGTGCACAATAGATACAACACATATATACATTGACATTTAGTAAACATCCCATTTCTGAGAGTCCCATGAATACATCACATACATTCCAGGGTGGTCAACTGGGGGGTAGTTGATATGGAAGGGCAGGGATTTTGAAGTTCCGGGATGTCAAAACCTGCTATAGCCCATAGCCCCGATTGTTCTTTATGGAGCAAAAAAGCCAGTATATGATCTTGAAGTCACTGAAACACAAATGAGATATGGCGGGCAATGGAAAACTATGGAGAAAAAACATGTTCAGGTGGAATACCTTCTATACAATGTTTCAAAATATGGTACTTTCATGTAATTTCACATTACATCGCCATGTTTGATTACCGGAGAGTATGACATGTGATAACCCGCAAACATGACAAAAATAAAAGGTGTGAACTTCACCAGAAACGGTGATATTTCAATGTGTCTTCATGAGGTAGGCCCAAAAGTGTGCTCTATTTTTGGGTGTTGGAAATAATGGGATGGTGTTAAAATGTGTTAAAAGATATTGAACAATCCGTCGCTTCAGAGTCAACCATATCCGGTGCGTGTTGGTTTTGGAGTCACCTAGTTCCAGTAACTCAACATGTTTCAACGATGGGATCTGGAATGGGAGCTTCCATTGTTCGTCTGGGAGAAACAAATCATCTCTAGCAAGCTGTAGCTATGGAAAATAACCATTACGAAATAGGCAAATCATCGAACTAAATGGGCTGTGTCCCATAGCTATGCCAAATAAAAACACCCAAATCATATATTGTTGGTTATACTATCCCATTACATCCCGTTTATGTCAGCAGTTTTCCTACTCAACTACCCCATGTTCTGCCTGAAATAGAGTGATTCACTAGTGACTAACCTGAAAATAGCTGTTGTCAAGCGGCCATTTGGGGATGATTCCCCATATGTAAACCATCATTCCAGTGACGTCATGACAGAGTCATGATCAACTTAATCCGGATATAATGTGGTAAACCCATGCGAACCCACTAAAAATATATATCCCTCAAATCACCATAAATGATCACAAATTGGTTGTATAAACCATACCCAAACTATAGGTTTAGTGCTTTGGGTTTTACCAAATTGACTGGTATATGGCAAATTACTAATTTTCACAAAACCACCGTGGTACTCTCCGAGATGCGTTCTCGTACATTTGATGCCGCATGGTCACCTCGATTCCGGGAATCCGCGGGGTATTCTTACCAAGTCTGTTGGGGACACCAGTGGACAATATGTCTTAGAAATGGAGCCGGGATGACAGCCGGGGAACTTAGAGACGGATAGAAATAGCAACTCCCAAACGAAATTCAGCTTTCAATGATTTTGTTTCATGGCTGCCACAATTTGGAGCTAAGTGAAGCAAACTACAAGGGAACGGCTACGAAAGTGTCACCAAATTTGACCCTGGCACCCTGGCACCGCAAAAACACTTGGATCAGGCTGAAAGTGGGTACTGCAAGGGCTACCATTGGGGTCAATGGTTAGCCACCCGTTTCAGCTGGTCACTCCATGATAGTAGTAGCTGCTTAAGAGTGATTCCGAATTTATAGATGATAACAATCCCCACTACATCATTATTCTGTATGTGTGGGGCAATCATGTATCCCTACAACCCAGCTTCATTCATCAAGATATATCAAGATCATTCGTATAACCAACACTTCATGTTACATCCTCATCGGATCCCATCGACCCATAACTCCGATGCATAGGTGCCATGCCCGCGAAGAAGACCACGAGTTCCGCCGATTGCGCCATGAACAAGTCGCCCGATTGGAATGTCCAAACACCTACGGTGTCTCCATCCATCGATCTATGAATCTATCTAAATATGTATGATATCTAAAATACTATATTTGGCATACTTATTGATGGCATATGGTGTAAAATGGTGTAAATATGTCGCCTGTATTTTTTTTTGGTTCGGTGAAGCAACCAAAGGTGGTGATCTAGAATCAAAGAAAAATCACGTGGCCAAACTCCACCCCACTGGCCGCTGACCCACTGACAACACGGGCAACCCACAGGGGTAACCAAAAACTAAATCCCAAGCAGCTCCCAAAGAAAAAAAGTAGTGAGAACCCTTCTGATCTAATGGGAGCTCCCTTCTCTCTTGAATGCGGGTGCACCTGATTGCACCTGCACTGCACGTGTACCCACCATATAAATATATATATAAGTATATATACATATATGATTCTATATGTACAATGTACAAAGAGAGAGAGAGAGAGAGATAGATATATAGAGATACTTATTATATCTGATTATTCATTTGTAAATATGCACATTCTTCGGGATGTGAAATATGTATGCGCATGCATGTATGTATATCACGCAGAAGAAGAGCAAGACTTTGATACTCAACTCCTTCTTAGGCAGTACAATTCACTTCCAGGTTCATGTTCCAATGTGCACAATATTGTGCAACTAGGAACGAGGAACGCGTTGGTCAAGCTCGGAGAAGCAGAATCATTGCTTGATGAGCTGTTGTTTCCAGTCATTGATTTGCTGCTCCTCCCCCGTTGCTCTCACCAAGGTGCTTTGCAAAGAGATCATCCAATGCAACGTACCTCCCAAAACTGCCAGCCACATATGCCGACAGCACAAAGCTAGAAGGAAGCGTGGAAGCAGCGTCACGAGCGACCTAAGTTCGGTAAGATGCTGCATCTTGAGATGTCTTGCTGTAGGACGACAGAAACATGATCTTAAAAAGAAAAAATGCCCCATTTACTCCCCATTTACCCAATATTTATATACTATGGATATTCAAAACCATACACAAAAGAAGGAATCATACATGAATGGGTTTAGTTATGTAGTGGCATAGCAACCTATGCTTTCTACCAGCAAAAATGCCACACAAGCAATTGCACATCAAGCCATGTGCGAATTACGTTTACTGTACATGTACCAGTATTGTTATACTTTCAGCAAAACATCATTTAGATTTACATCCTGGAACAGCAACGACCCAAGCATACACACCATGACCCAAGCGACATTGTCTCTTACTGTAGATAATAGACAGCCCCCATGATCTCCCTGTATCCCCTCAACATATCATAAGCATTTTGGCCCGAGGGACACCATGGTAACATCTGCGGGTTTCGTCGAGAATAGCGGTAAAGTGCAAAGAACTTGCAGCACAATGTACCAAACATCCAGTGACCTCAGAATTGGTGGCCTCGGCACACCTGATGTAGTCCCTTGATGCTGAAAATCGTCAACCAAAGCTGATGCGGACAAGTGCTGAAAACCCTTTTTCTATGCTCATAGTTCTATGCTGAAGACATGTTCAGCTCAGTTTAAGGGAATTCAAAGTGTTTACCCTCTGGTAATTTAACATAGCTATTGACAATGACCATTTATAGTGGATTTACCAATTGAAAATGGTGATGTTCCATAGTTATGTTAGTTTACCAGAGGGTAACACTGTTGAACATGTCTGCAGCTCAACTGCACGGCCAAGCCGCTGGGGAGTCACCAGCTGTGGCCAAGAACACAGGAGCAGCAGGAGAGCATAGGCCTTCGCCCATCCCACGTGCGCCATTGAAGCAAATGGGGGACATCATTTTGAGCCTACAAAAACATATTTGGATACATGCATATATACATATATATATATGTATGTGCACATATAGAAGGGTTTCCAGTTTCCAACGGCCTTCTCCAGAAATGACAAACAGCCGTTCTCTAGTGCAATAGACAAACACCATGTTGAAAATGGTCATTTGATGGCCTTCAGTGCCCAGAGTTTGGTGTGAAAAGTTGTGGGTTTCACATAAGGCGCATATAGGAAATGACTAACGATCTGGGGTGGGATCATGTCCTGGAAAATTGGCACGGAAAAAACGCTTGGTTGTGACAAAACTTCAACTTGTCAATTATCAACCTGCTAAACCCCGGTTACTTCATTTGCCTAGATGAATGCATATATATATATATGTACCGGTAATATTATTTAATATGTAACATGTTTTTCCAAAAACTGTTTAAACAAAAACAAAAAAAAGTATTAACCACGGGAAAATAACATCTGTGTAAGTGTAAATCCAAGTTCTTCAAAACCCAGTTTGGGGGAAGCAGAATAAGTCCCAAAGAAAGTAGATTTGAATAAACTATAAACATTCACCAATCTGGTCACTATAAACCAAACAAATACAAATCACACCCCCAATATATGATAGTATATCCAGCTATATCCAACTATAACTGCTATTTTCCCTTGATGTTCTGTAATTGTATGCCATGGTCAAAACATGGTACACACGTCTGTATGGGGTATGATCATCGATCCCATAATGGAAATCCAAACGAAATGAGTACAACTTCAAATAATTCATTACAAAGCCCAAAAAATAATGACTTGACCATCCTCAAAATGATAATATGGGTATACGGTATATCCTCCAATTTCTGATGGTAGTTGGTGGTATATCCCATGTTATCCCCATGAAAATCTGAAAAGTCCCAGGCACCAACAGGTTGGACAGGTCTAGGGCCTGTCCGGGCTCCGGAGGGGATGTGGAAGGAGCACCACTTCATGTTAAGCAAAAACAGGTCCACCTGCCCCAATTTTACCATGGGTGGTATAGACCATCAAACTATGGGTGGTTTATATTGCTTTACTCACATTTAGTACTCTCTCTCTCTCTCCCCATGTTTTTTTCTTTAGTGGGGTCTATATAATAACCTGAACTTGTTGAGGTGAACTCACCCAGGTTGGCTATAACAATTAATATCTCCAACTGCACCCCAAGTACCAGCCTTTTAGTTATATGTTGATGGGGATTCCATGGCCTAGTTGAACCTCATCAAGTTGATACCATTACTATGTTGATAGTCAACCCTACCATCAAATACATTCCAATGGGTATTTTATGGGCTTCAACGACTGAAGACTTTACAGTAAATGGCAACATATGGTGATACACGACTTCAACGAACATGATACAACCAATAGCGGGACTGAACCAGCCAGTCCGACAGGGACGATCAAAGGCCGCCGGTGGTGCGCGAAAAAATGATTTTTCATGTGGTCCATCTCATTCCAAACATGTAGGTGCATATTTGCAATATACACACACATTTTCATATATCTATACATATACATACACACACATGCATTTATATACATGTAACAACTGCAATAAATCATTAATGGCATATTGTTATTTTGGGATAGCTACACCTACACGTACTAATCATTGTTCGTTTGAGGTCGCAGTGAGGTTGTTATATAATTTTTCCAAATTGTTCCAGGCATGTGCACCAAAGTAAAGCATAAACACATCTGACACATCTGAACGTATATGTACATATACAGTATCCACATAATATACCAGGCCTGGGGAAAGAAACAACTTGGACAATGTGCACATCGCACTTAGATGGTTATTGGATATAATCTGAGCTAAAATCAAATCTCCCAATCATGACCTTTAAATATGATACCCTATTATACCCTATTTATCTATTGGGCAATTTGGATGGTTTCAGCCTCCAACTATGGAGATGCTTCGAGGTACATTCACTCAAATATGCCAGGTGAAATGGTGCAGAAAATTCGCCAAACCAGTGCCACTCTTACCATGGCAAACGCATACCTGGTTCGCAAAAACATACAGTTCTTGCAATATATATTCATGAAAGAATAAGAAAAAACTGGGGTTGACTGGGTTGACCCAAAGACCTTCAAAGAACACATTCGACAAACCAGCGGTTGGTGAGGCACCGAGACTCCCCCTACAACCTGAGGGGCCAACCCAGTGGACAGCACATTGACGAACACTGCTGAAACAGAGATGACATTGCAACAAAAAGGATACACGGATACACCTTCCGAAGTCATAACAATCAATAATATCGCCACATAAATGTGAAACCATCAAGCTAGTCATAGTCTGTATGTGTTTGTTTGTTTACAACGAAATCCGCCTTCCAAAACCCTCAAGGCCCAAGGCTCTGGTTGCATCTCATGCGGAGTGTGCCAGAGGAGGTGCCACTGCACCACCAGAAGACGCAGAAAGAGGGCCACCAGCATTACCTGCCAGGGCATGTATGAATTGTATATGTTATATTATAATATGGAGGTTTCCTAAAATAGTGGTACCCCTAAATAATTCATTTTAGTAGGATTTTCCATTCTAAACCATCAATTTTGGGGACCCCCATTTTAGGAAACCTCCATATGTGGAGACCTTACAACACGGGTGATTTCACTGGTGAGGTGGTCGGGCCCCCGACGTATCCACCATGCCGCTGTTGTTGGGTAAATGGACATCATGATGCTTTTTGATTGCAGTGTCAGCTCTATCTCAAGTTGTCTAATCCCAAGTTTGTATCACATTTTGTCCTGTTTCTTCTTTGTGTTGCCATTAGTTGCTAGAATATATCCATGTCTTTCTTTCCGTGGCCTGAAAACCGGGACCTCAAACGCATGAACAATGAACATTGTTAGTCAACATTTCGGTCGAAGAACATATGGCAAAAGTATGCGCAAATATTCCCATTATATATGTTCATCATACCACCATCACTACATTCAAAATCAGAAAACCATATCTCCACCATATCCCCATGATATAGGTTTAGGGATCCCCCATTTATACATATATAAATATATATTATACCTATATATTATATACCTCTATGTGTATATATATATATATATATATGTGTGTGTATATTATGAATATTATCCCCCTAATTTGTCCATACTATCTCCATATCCACCACGAGCACCTGCGAACTGGACTGCAGGAGTCCTTAAATCCCAATAGAGTGGGCCGACTTGGATCATGTTTTTGGGGAATATTCAGGGGCTACCGTCTGGTGAACGTATGGAAAATCACCATTTGCAAGGGGTAAACCCGGGCTAAATCATCATAAAACATGTACATGGGCCATGGATGGCCATGGCTTCCATATGTTACATAACCAGAGGGTACTGAGTGGTTCACCTCAGACAGCGGCTGGGATACCCTGGGTATCAATGGGCTAGGTAGGGGAAATGTATGAGCAACTTGCTAGCTGGGATGAGCCATCAAGAAACCACCAAAACATGGAATGCGTATGGTGAGATATGAGAAAACTGATATGGGACTTGCCACACGAGTTTTGGGATATTCAGCTTTGGCCCAAACAGTGGGTTGAGGTACTATAGTTCAAGAAGCTGCTCATGCTTCCAAGTGGCGGCCATGCAGAGCAGTTGACGGGAACAATCGGGATATCGGTGTCACAGGGCTGCAATAACATCCACTAACAACTGCAAAAGCTATAAAGACACTTGAGAGTGTAAACTTTCAGGAGTCACATTATTTGGTCCCTAATAAACCTGAAAAAACTTGAGGGGCACTGGGGCACTGAAGTCTATCACCAGGGTTGCATCGTTCACCCCAATCGGGTCGTGGCACAAATTCCCGCTGCAACTGAGCCTCTGCAAAGGGTGCGCTCGAAGAAGCGGGTGGCTCGGATCTCCGACTTCTGACATTCCTTCCAGCAAATTCTGGCGGCTTTGTCCATTCAAAAGCTGATTTTTTCTTGCGCCAGCGTGGATAGTACCCCCACCCCAGTCAGAATCACAAACATTGATTCATTGATGAAAATGGACCAACTGAACACTTCAACAAAAAAAACTGACACAAAACCAATACTAACAGCGATACTACTGGAATCATCATCATCATCATCATCATCAAGCGATAATTACTCCATAAGCTATACCATCCCTACATGGGACTAGATCCACCACCAGTCAGACCCCACTCCTGGACATTGCCTATGAGCTGTCGCAAACGCTTGAAGAGATCCGACCAATGACTCCTGGTGAAGGGGGCCCAGCTTGCAGCTCACGACTACAAGGAGGCCAACAAGTCACCAAGTACCCCCAACATGGTGGATTTAACTGGAAAACATATGAAAACATATGAAAAAAAAAACATACTTAGGGGTAAATAATGGGGAAGTAACCAACTAGTCAACAAAAATTGGTATACTCCCATTCCCCTATCATGTTAAACACCACACACTGTATACGTAAGCAAAAGTGTCCCAAATATTTGTAAATCCCCTACTGAACCATGGTTTCTGGGAGGTGTTGAATATTAGGAAGGGATTATACAATATGAAATTATGAGGCAACTCTATAATGGCCCACATGTAAGCCAGGAAAAACATGTCTATCTTTTGGGGACCCCTCTGGCAAGAATCCTTGAGGAAAACTTGCCGCGTTACATTCAGTTGATATGGGTTAGCAATGGTGACATGGACCCTTCTAAGAAGGTGACATGGACCCTTCTAAGAAGAATCACAAGGGTGACTAGGAACCTATAACCTCGGGTGCGGACATCTACTCTGGTGATGTCTCAACATATCTGAACTATCTGAACTAACCATGGTTGATTCATGTGGGCTTCAATCATGTGGTGATATAGCTAACTTAAGACACCACATATACATCTGATTACATATGTATAGACATGATACATGATGACACGGCGCAAAAATCAATCCCATGGAACTTCAGGCCTAACTTTCAGCCCAAGTTGAACGAGTTGGGACAGCAACTTCAAAGCAGTAAGGAACTGCAGAATGTAGATGCCTCAACGGCCAGCGGCTTGTAACGTGGAAAAATGTGGTAAATCTTACAATAACCTGCCATTGTTCTAATGGTTTATAATGGATAATGTGTGATAGTTCCTATATAGTTTAATAGCAATATTCAAATATGTTTTTTTGCTGGGTCTAGCACATTGCTTAGTTGGGATGACGCGAAACATCAATGAAGCATTGCCTGAATGTCCCCACCTTTCCACGGTTGCTATGGGCTGCCTCCAAGTCGCATATCAGAATGACGTTCTCAAGGTCCATCGCGGGTGGACAGGGCACGTAAAAACTCGAGCCAACTTAGGGTCTGCGCAAGGAACCCCACGAAAGGGCCATGTATTTACTTACCAAACACTCATACCTAGTCATACCTATGGATACAGCATCGCATTCAATTTTGTTTCTATTTCGTTGTTGCCAATACGCACATGTAGCTCGTGGGCATGGTTTAGGAACAATCTAGACTGGACTGAAAGCCCACCCAAAGACCTTCAATGGGGAATGTTTCACCATAACAACTCAAAGACTGGCTGATACAGACTGAAGACTATGTTAATATATTTAATATATATATATATATTTATTTATTTATTTATTATAATACAACTTAAAAAACATACAGTACAATTTAGAATATAAAATATGTTTGATATACAAATATATATATATATATTAAAAACACAATTTACTATAAACAAAATTCTATATTACAAACATAATGCATTTCAATATATATAAATAAATATTGGGCTATAAACATAGAATATATATATACAATTAATACATATATATATATATTCTTGATGAACCAATGAATAATATACAAGTATAAAAACATCAAAATGTGTAAATAAATATAAATATATATATATATAAACAGTTTAGCTAAATAACGCACATTACATATGTATATAAAATAAAAACACATTATACATAACAAAATATTGTATATACAAACTAAAGCATGAAGAATATAACATGTATAATCAATGATAATAGACATATGTATATAAACATCAACAACTATCAGCAAACAAATAAAATATAGTAATATAAAACAAAAGACAAAAACTGTAATGCATTATTAAAACAAAAATGCACTATAATACATTATAAAAAATAAACGATTTAAAATGTTATAATATAACATAAAATAAATTGATGTAATATAACATATTTAAAATTCAAATGTTTTAAAAAACACAATCTGAACGAACTAAAATGAAATAAATATATAACTTTCAACAATACAATATACTATAGTGAAATAATGCAATAAATATATTATCATGTAATAAAGTATAATTTAAAAATATTGCCCTATAATATAATATAAAATGGTAGGTTTGAACAAAAAAGTGTATTCTATTAAAACACAATAAAATAGTTTATCATGTTAAAATGTAATCAAATGTACTATAGAAAGAAAAAATTATATATGAAACTGTATTAAATAATATATATATATATTACATATTTGTATATATATATATAGTTACATATATACAGATACATGCCTTGAAGGGAGGTACCGTACCACGAGGACAAATTTCGAAGACTATATTCCCTTACTTCGGCCTCACAAGGTCCTTACACAATAAGGTAGCCTCCTACTAGAGTCTGAACACTGCTAATCTGAGATGCCCTGACAAAAGCTGTGTTGTAGTTCGTCATTGTGAATGTATATGCCCCAATTCAGAATACAACAAACCATATACAGTATCATAAACAAAATACTCATCTATCGTGAATTATTTCCTGAGGCATGCGCGCTTAGGAAAAAACATGCGCTGTTCTCTTTTAGTCATCATTTCCCCTACAAAGCCCAAAATGGCCATGACACCGGTCTACTCCACCTGACGCCCCAGCATGTCCGCCAACATCTCCAAGGCAGCCGCCCATGCAGATCCACCGCTCGCGTCGCGAGCGACCAAGCAGCTCATAGCGCTACTGTAACCTCAAAAAGGCCGGAGGAAAAAGAAAAGGCGGTCCACCAATGTGTTCTTGTTGCTTGGAAGGCTCGGAAGGCTTGGAATTCAACATGTTTGAAGTCTTACCAATCTTTGGTGTTGTAACGTGACTTTTCTGTTGCCCTCCGTCTTTGTCAGCAACCCTCCTACCAGGCAACCAAAGACGTCTTGCGCCAGCCGAGCGTGGAGAGATCGCATGGTCAGCAACTGTAGAGCCTTGGGCCACACCTCTGCCTTGGATAGCACTCAACATCAGTCAACAGTGTTGTTGGTGGTTACAATACAATCCATTTATAACCTCTTCCTCCCTAAATATTAATATGTAATTTTAAACTCGTCTCGTCCCTGGTTTAGTATGGGATTTCACGGAATTGACACGTATTTGGGACCATTGACGGTGTTTTAAATTAGGGAGTGGGATTCTGTGACAAGGAGCCATCTCTCCTAAAGGATCACCTCAATGGGGAGGTCCCAGAAAACCGGAGGCTTTCTGGGGTTTGTTCGGAAGCTACCCAAATCCAACGGTTGATCACTTTTCGCGAAAAGAAACTTCAATATTTGATACTATTTTTGTGAGTGCTCCATATTTAATTTTCAAACAACCCCATGTCAATGACCCATCTGGATTATTTGATTTGAAGAATCTGTGTTTTACATGTTTTTACCCTGATATTGACGTGTATACCTTTTTGTGGTTTTCCTGACTGAATGGCCAGAATTGTTACTATTTAATACCCAGTAAAATATGATAAAATATGTGCATATGATTGTACTATGATTGTGTACATATGTATCTAAGCCAATTCAACCCCCAACCGGCGCTTGCACATGCAGATCAACATGTTTAGACACGGATCCACACCGAAAATGACCCAACACAACACCATAAGGTACACAGCAGCTGATGGCCGTACAAAAGCTGACCACATCGGGCATCAAACGCAGCGTGGGCAAGGAAGAAAGCGTCGAAATGGCCATTTGCCAACGTGGGCCCTGCCGGTTGAGGTTGTTCAAGGTGGGTTGTTCAGGATGTAATGGTGGGCCCCGCAAACGATAGCAAAAGTTCACTTGTAACTTGGTTAAGTATGGATTTCTGGGAGAAATAGCTGTAGTTCAGTGGTTCAGGTTTATAAATTGACTTATCACTGGCTGGGCCACATTAGACATACATGCCATAGATACCCTGATGTACATATATACACATATATGTATGTGTATGTTCGAGTACGTATACACATGTTTATTGATAATGCAAAACGACATATATTTTATAATCATTAAAATAATAACATGGAATAAGAGTAATAATAAGAACGACATGTAAGCCATCACTTGAGGCCGGGGGTGGATGACGAAAGCTAGCGGGGTACGAGAAAGAAGGAAGGGAAGACGTATCTTCAGTGTCAGCAGGGAAATGTCGGTGGCTGCAAATCAAACCAAACCCCACCGTCCTATGGTAGTGTGAGAAACCCAGAGAGAGGATGCCTATCCAAATCTCTTTATTGACCACCTTGTTTTTGTTGCTGAGCAGCTGCGGCATGTTTCAGCGGGCACCAATGGGATGAAGATGACAGTGAGGATGCTGACCCTCTACCAGCCGGAAATCTCCCAGGGGGGATCGAACCTGATGCCGATGATGACGATGATGATGAGGATGGTGATGATGATGATGATGATGATGGTGATGATGATGATGATGATGATGATAACAAAGTTGATGACGATGACAATGACGCTCATGCTGACAACGACGATGACGGCCGAAAATGACAATGACGGTGACGATGACAATGGCGATGACGATGACAAAGGCGAAGACAATGACACTGACAATGACGATGATGATGATTACGATGATGAAGAAGAAGATGATGATGATGATGGTGACATGGATGATGATGGTGATGATGATGATGATGATGGTGATGATGACGCTCATGATGATGATGATGATGGTGATGGTTATGATAATGGTGATGATTATGATGATGATGGTGATGATTATGATAACGGTGATGATGATGATGATGATGAAGCGGATGCGGCAGATGATCGGGATGATGATGAGGAGGAGGATGATCAGGATAAGGAGATGATGATGATGATGATGATGATGATGATGATGATGATGATGATGATGTTCATGATGATGATGATGTTCATGATGATGATGATGATGATGATGATGATGATGATGATGATCCCAATGACGAGAACGATGCCAATGACGATGACGATGACGAAACCGATGACGATGACGATGATGACGATGATGCTGATGATGATGGTGGTGGGGTTGGGGGGGGGCCCTTTCGCATGAAAAATCACGTGATGTCCTTGAGCAGCCCCCGGAATACTTGCTAAAGGAAGAAGACTCCAGCTAGCTGACGCTAGCTTTCGTGACAAACAAAAAAATGTTTTTTTTTTAAAAAAAAACATATAACAACATCTTAAAACAACAACACAATGATGAAAACAAACAAAATTGATTACTTTTTACAGATGTGGAATCATTCTTATATGTGCAACGCCAAACATGCAATGTGTTTATTTACCGTGTATTGGCACGCGTGTGATCTGCATTCACATGTGTAAGTAATCCAAATGCACCTCTGAAAAAGTGGCTGGGTAATATAATTTATATATAATATATATATATATAAATATATCTATCTATGTTCATGCAATTTCATGAAAGCCAAAAATGGTGCTTGACAACCACGATCGGAGTTTCAGAAATAAAACCCGCTAGTAAAACAACGATACTTGTGACATGACATTGACTAGTAACTATTTCCATGGCCAGACAACTACCCGCAACATGTCATGTATGGACAGAATTAGGATCCTAGGATCATAATCCTGTGGCAAATGGAGGGTGTTCATGATGTCAGGGAAACTCATGTGGACATATGGAGGTCTCCTACAATGGGGGCACCCCACATCCTTCAAGTCATGAATGATCATGACTTAGTATTGAACCCCATGGTGACTTGGGCATCCCCCATTTTAAGAAACCCTCATATTATATGACTCTTGGAACCCAACAACTCTGATCATCTGAGGAAAGCAGCGCAGTGTGGCCCTGGCGAGCCTTGTATGCACCCAACGCTGAATTGAGAGCCACCAAGTCTGGGTGCATCCTCTGCGGCGCAGCCACATGAGATGAAAAACGGTGGCAGATTTGGTGAGCGAAACAGTTCCCCCTCCCAAAAAACAACGCGGCAATTTTTTTTTGGTGTGCCTGGAGTTCCGTTGTTATTTTCAGGATGGCGACCCAAAGGCTCCGAAAACCCCATTCCAAAACATGCCGACTAATGACTAATGCCCCAAGTATGACCCCAACATGATAAAATTAAGCAGAGTGCACCAGCTTTCCGAGTCCTTTGGGCGGAGAGCCGTTCCAGCAACATTATGGTGAGACGCCAAAAACCTGGTGCACACCGAGTCACATCCATAATTGATGATTCTGCTGGTTCATCCAAAAAAATGCGGTAACAATCCACAGAATGGTGGTAAAACAAAATGATACGTTTAGACCGTTTAGATATTTTTAGCCCATAAGACAAATTAATTATTTACACAATAGGCGTGTGTATGTACAATATATATATATAAATAGATGTCTAATGATGTTTATTTACATTTTTTGTTTCTGTATTTAAATTCAAATGTGCAACCCGTAAAAAAACAACAGGGCATGCCTTAGATTTCTCAAAACCAGATAGTGCCCGGCACGCGCCGGGGTGAAAATTTTGAAAATAGGAAATGAGTATAGACTGTAGTGACATCGATGGCATAAAGGACTGTTTTTGCGATGCAAAAGCAATGAAATGTTGAAGATGTGAGGTGCATCAACGAATGAACAAATATGAGCACAGGCACATGATGTTTGTTAAAATGACACTGACATGAGCGAATTCATGCACAGCTCACTGATTGAGACAATGAATCAAAATTCTAACGAATCAATGATTCAGTCTCAGTGGACCAATGAACCAACAAATCCACCAACCAACAAATCAATGAATCAGTGAATCACAGAATCAAGGAACCAATGAGTCAATGATTCGAAGACTCAATGGACCAATGAATCATCAAATAATCAATGAATCCGTGCACCAATGAAGCAATGAATCATTGAATCGATCAAGCAATGTATCAAGGAACAGTGAGCCAACGAATCAACGAACCAATGAGCCAAGTGTTCAAGGATTCAGTGAGTCAATGAACCAATGAGTTAGGGATAGGCAGCGAATCAACGAACAGTGAAGCAATGAATCAATGGTTCAGCGATTTAGTGAGTCAAGGAATCAAGGAACTACCTAGCGAAACAACGAATCACAATTAATCAATGAATCATTGAATCAGTGAATCAACGAATCAATGAATGAGTAAATGATTGAAACAATGAATCATTGAATCAATGAACCAAACAACCAGTGAATCAATGAATTTTGCGCAAGCTCTTCCTCGAAAAGTGCTCGGCATGCCTCAATTTTTGAGGAATTTGAAATGCAAACCGAGCTCTTGCTACAGTCTAGTCTGGTGCACATTTTGCCAACCAGATCTTCCAAAAGTGCTCCAAACGCCAGATTATCAAGTGATTGAAATGCAGTCGCGCACATTTTGCCAACTTCATCTTTTAAAAGTGCTCCGATCCCCTCCGCTTTTTGCTGTTTTGATGTGCAAACCGAGCTCTCGCCACAGTCTGGTACATATTTTGCCGACCTCATCTTCCAAAAGTGCTCACAACGCCTCAGTTTGCGTAACAATTAAAAATGCAAACCCCGCTCTCGCCACAGTCCTGTGCACGTTTTGTCAGGTTTGGAATGGCGGAAACCCAGGGCTTCGCGCCCGAGAGTGTTTACACCCGTGAGTTCACATGCTTCCCAGCGACTTCAAAATGTGTGGTTGACATGATGATGTGGTTGACATGATGTGAATGACAAACGTGACATGTCCGCACCTCAAATGTGTTTCGATATCACAGGTGACCTGGATGGGACCGTTGTGCGTTCCCAGCTACGGGTTCTGCAGCGCATATGACATGTCACGATATAACTATGACTGTCGGAGAGAAGCAAGCAACAACATGTACTATTCTCTATATGTCATGTGCATTTTTATGGAATTATATATATATACGCATTGCTTACACACAATTGTTTGCATAATTAAAAGCTTTGCATGTAAACAACAAACAACTGGAAATTTCCTATGCAACATATCATGATAATATGTTCAATAGGTGTAGAGTGGTATGCATATACACATATATATATAATATATCCTCTCAAGTTGCTTCAACCCCCCTTGGGGACCATTTTAGAACCCAAATATGGGTTCTAAAATGGAATCTACAAGGGGGGTCTTAGAACCTAAAATTGTTGGCCACTATTCCGTTTTTGGGTTCTAAAATGGGTTCTGAAATGGTATCTTCCACCCTTAAAAAAATCATTAAAAATCATCCAAAACTTTATATACTCGATTATGCACTGAAAAAAAAACTGGAGATGGTTTGAAGCACAAAAACATGAGTCACAAAAAAGGGGCGTGAGGTAATCCATGGACATGGGGCTGGATCCTTCTGTTTAATTCTGTTCAGAAGTTGGGTAGGTGTGAAGGCTGTGGCACTGAAGAAGACAGAGCTTGAAGGCCATTTGCGCGCCTAGTTAGGGTCTGGGTTCTGGTGTGGTTTGATTGACCAGTGACTTTCACGAGCTACATTCCACCATTCCTGAACAAAAAATGAGAAAGGTATTTGTTTGGGCAAATGTTTCCACCTTGGTGCCGTTTTCAATTTTGAATCCAATCAAGGTGTCCCTCAGCCTGGATGTTCTGAAATGGTTTCCATCAGGGTTTTCAGGGGTTTGTGACCTCCAACTTGGGTGTAAACCATTTTAGAACCCTGTTTTGTGTTAGGGGTTGGAAAGGGGTAAGAGGGTTCAAAAGTGTAATTCCTCAACGATATTTGTCCAATTCTTTCCCCACAAAACTATTCAAAAAACAACCCAAAATCATACACTGGAAAGATGGTAAATGATTTTATCTTTGTTTCATTTTCATCCATTTTCAACTTTGGATCCAATCAAGGGATGTTCTGAAATGGTTTCCATCAGGGTTTTCAGGGGGTTGTGACCTCCAACTTGGGTGTAAACCATTTTAGAACCCAGACCTCTGCCAGGGAAGAAAGAATCCAAAGAACCGATGCCTTCTGGGGAAGAGCAGTCCAAAGGCTGCTTGGGGATGAGATTTGATAGGGCTTGGGGTAGCTGTTGTGAGATCAGATGCAGGTCTCATCAAGCTTTCTTTGGAAACATTGCCCACAATGATTCAAAATGGTTGTTCTGGAAAGATGGTAGATGAGTTTTTTCTTTCATTTTCATCCATTTTCAACTTTGGATCCAATCAAGGGATGTTCTGAAATGGTTTCCATCAGGGTTTTCAGGGGTTTGTGACCTCCAACTTGGGTGTAAACCATTTGAGAACCCTGTTTTGTGTTAGGGGTTGGAAACGCGTAAGAGGGTTCAAAAGTTTATGATATTTCAGCATTTGTCTATAATACCAACAGTTGGTTTGGAAACACATTGATCTGGAATGTCCCTTTTTTTTCTGGTGGAGAGGAGGGAAGGGTTCTAGAATGGTTTCCTTCATGTACCAACGTGTGATTCAACATCTGTGGCTCATGGATTCCATTTCAGAACACATAGATGTAGCTCTATACACAGAAGGTCAAATAAAATCAAATAAGGCCTTAACAACGTTGCAGAGAAATACAACTATTTAGTTTTTCTTTATGATATTTCAGCATTTGTCTATAATACCAACAGTTTGTTTGGAAACACATTGATCTGGAATGTCCCATTTTTTTTCTGGTGGAGAGGAGGGAAGGGTTCTAGAATGGTTTCCTTCATGTACCAAAGTGTGATTCAACATCGGTGGCCCATGGATTCCATTTCAGAACACATAGTTTTAGTGCTACACTACCTTTAGCCAAGGGAGACCGTTCAACACTATTTCAAGCATAAACAGAGTCGCGAGATATATACTTTTTCATTTTTTTAAAGGGCCGACCTCCCTGTATGCTATGACTGGTGTTTCCCTACATTAAGTCCTGCAGTAGTGACATCAACGGTCAGATTGCCCATTGGCAGGACGCATTGAAAGCTTTGATCAGTCTGAACAAGGAGCACCAACAGGAAGTGGAGGCAACGAAGAAACGTAGAGTGACGACAGTCAAACTCATCCAGCCGACAATCGAAAACTTTCGGCGAAACAAAAAAGGTCAAAAACTGATTGCACAGGAGCTGTCACGCCTCTTGACAGGGGTAAAGGCAAAGGGTTAGATACTTTATGTGCATATCCCCTTAATTTCAAAATTATGCTTCGTTAATTCGGGGTGACGTCGTGACGTCGAATTAAATCGTACAGATACCTCATCATATGGTATTATAATATATTAAAAAAAATAATATATATATATATAAATATATTATACTGTATTATACAAGCTTCCAGGGTTCTACAATGCTTACGGGACCGGGGGTTCTACAATGAAAAAAAATCATTCTAGAACCCTCCGTGTTTATACCCAGGGGGGGGGCATTCTAGAACCTTCCAACTTGAGGGTATTATAATATCATGTATAATATCAGGTTATATATGTTTGATGTCAGCAGCAGCAGACTGCTCCATTTTTCCACAACCGCAGCAGTAGTGGAAACAGCTGCAGGTTTTCAAAGCATTAGTTAACAGCTTCAGAATTCATTGGCATGCAGTGTCACATAGTGTCACTGCGGATCACTCATGTGGACCCACATCCATGATACCCCGGTGGGCTCTAGCCTCCCAGAGGCAACTTTTTAAATCCCATTCCCGTCGACAGAGGATACCCCACGGAGGTCCTAGCCAGCAGGAATGTGTACTGCACAGACGACGACAGGAACACCTGTGGTCCGGAACACGAGCTCTCACCAGGCAGCCAACCTGCATGAGCATCAGCGCCTGGTAGACAACCAGCCAGCGGTGAAAAGTAGCAGCACTCCGCCAACCAGGCCGGTGATAAGGCTGCGACGTGCACCTGCTCAGACAGAGGAGGAAGAAGGTGGCAACAGCCACACCTCTCACCACATTGGCACCAACGGAAAAGCCGACAGCTTTCATGGAAGTCCACCATAGCACACGAAACAAAGCGCAGGCCCTCGACTCCTGGCGCCTGACAGGCCCAAACCAGAGAGGGTGGGCTGGGACAAAATTCAGATCCAGGCTTTCCTGAGTTGGAGACTCCAACTAGGCCAGTCAGGCCATTTTGGCTTGAGATCCAAAATGTCCGGAAGGCAGTTCAGAGTCTGTCACGTCTGTGACCCAAACATAGTTTCATCACCGACCCTGCTTACCTTGAATGAACTAGATCTCTCTCTCCATCGCTCTCTCCATCACTATCCCGAAGGTTCAGCTAAGGCTGAGGGCGAGCTGATCAATATTTATTTATTTATTTAGATATATTATACATAATATTGACATATTATGATATGAGATGTTTTTATTTATATATATATATTATTGACATATTATGATGTGAGATTTGTTGAGTTTTTCAGATTTCATTGACAACTTATCTTTGAAGCCCCTAATTGGCAGCGTCTATGTTAATCTTGAGGTTTCCTACAATGGTGGTACCATCATCCAAATTGGACCATTTTTTAAATTGAAAGTCATGATGACTAGGGATTCCCCATCTTAAGAAACCAACATTGGAGGGTATATCCACAAGATTCCATCATGATCGCGCACCTTGCTGCCCAGGCACCACCTTTGGCGCAGGCGCTAATCACGCCGCTGTAGCAGATTACGTCGGGCTGCAACTCCGCAGCTTCCAAGGCCTGCAAAAGGATGCAGTTACCCTTGGCTAAAGATAGAAAAAATGCAACAAATGTGGAAAACCCATGGTGAAATGGGGAATTAACTCGTTTTACCCTGATGTCAACTGGAGATATGGAAAAAAACATGTGCTCTTCGGGACATGATCTGAGAAACCGTTGGTTTTCCGGCATGTTGTTTACTGCATAGCACCCATCAAACATCTGGTTGATTTAAATATCGACATGGTGAATCAACAGCAGAAATATGATGAACTTCACCAAAAACATGTGACTGTCTATGGATTGATTTAATTGGGGACCATTTGAACGCCCAAGTAGACACGCGGTGTGTCCTGTCCAATTTCAATCAATTCCTGGGACTGGATGGCACACGCTGAACCATTGTCTTTTGTTTTTATTATTACTGGAGTTATTTGCCATAAAACTGAAAATTTAAATGTTTTGTTTGATGTTGGTTTGCGCTGTGTTGATGATTCACAACTTAGCTGCTTTTGCCTATCCTCAATTGTTTCCCTTGGGTTCTTGCATAACACTATGCAAGAAAATGGAATGTACAGTTTATTAAATTTCACGAGCTCCTGGGATTTGTGATTTTTAGGGAATATTGGATATCAAGGTCAAGATGCAGTATTTGGTGCAGTGTACGCGCACAAGGGTGGCACCAAAAAACTTAAGCGTCATGGTTTGCACGGGTTTGCACTGGATCAGCCTTCCATAGATGGAATTGGTCCAATTAATCGTTCAGAAAAAATGAAACGGTCGGAAACGGTCGGAAACAGTCGGAAACGGTCGGAAACAAAACTTGTCCAACCCGCATTTTTTGAAAAATAAGCATTTCCGCGCAACGCCATTTTTTTTTTGGCGCCCAAGGGGAAACGGTTGGAAACAGTCGGAGATCGCACCTTCGCTCGGCAAAAAAGACATGTTTTTGCACAATTTTCAAACATGTTTCATGAACATATGCTACAAAACAACTACTTTTTTGCCGAGCGAAGGTGCGATCTCCGACTGTTTCCAACCGTGACACCTTTGGACCTTCAAAAAAAAAACGGCGTTGCGCGGAAATGCTTATTTTTTTAAAAAAAATCGGGTTGGACAAGTTTTGGCCTGATCATGTTTCCGACCGTTTCCGACCGTTTCCGACTGTTTCCGACCGTTTCCGACCGTTTCATTTTTTCTGAACGATTAATTGGACCAATTCCATCTATGGAAGGCTGATCCAGTGCAAACCCGTGCAAACCATGACGCTTAAGTTTTTTGGTGCCACCCTTGTGCGCGTACCCTGCACCAAATATTGCATCTTGACCTTGATATCCAATATTCCCTAAAAATGACAAAATCCCAGGAGCTCGTGAAATTTAATAGTACAGTTGGTTTACTTGGTGGTGCAGTTGGTGCGATGTGATACAAACCAACAAACAAGGTGGCACACAGTCAATTAATGTCTCCCTTCTGTAAATGCATGATAAAACTGAACAACACTGACATCCACGCAATAGCTTTGACAATGAATATTTATGATTTCAAACATAATCAAACTATGACTGTGACTGTGACTATACACGACAATTAAACAGCTTATCTCGTCACATTAGGTGCAAGTGTTGGGGCTACAGGAAGAATTCCGCAGTAGATCGCTGGCTGCAGTGACGTGGCAAGAACTATGCTCTGGTGTCATCAAACATGGTTTGCCAGAAAATCCACCGGAAAAGTTCGATGGTCTTCCTAGAAACCTCCATGGCTCGATTGTGGATTTTCCAGCTTGGCATGTTTGATGACACCGGAAGTACATCCATTTATATCTTCTATCCATATCCCATAATGGTCTCTATTATAAACCACATATATATATATATAAAAACAGATGAAACCAGTGGGATGGCCATGGGGCACCCATCTTTACCGCCTCTAGCAGGGCCAGGGTGTTCTCCCATTCGCCCGCAGCTTCACAGGCAGAGATGGCGCTGTTGTAGCTGATCAAATCGGGCGCCGCCTCGAAGACTCCAGTGCCATGCGGTGCCCCAAAATGGGAGGGGCCCCCAGTGATCGCACAGGCCCAATACAGCTTCAAACAAGTTGAAGATAAAACTGGATTAACAACACAAAAAAAACAATTGCTGGTTACAACATCAGAAATAAATATATTCAAGAACTCTCGGAGGATTGTCATGGCCAGGTATTGACATACTCCGGGCTGGCCATGAAATACCACCAAGCTACCCTCCTCATCCAACATGGCAGGCTGGGGAATCCCTCAAAAATAGAAATTTTAATGGTAACATCATAGAAAATCAGGGGGAAAATCCTCTAGAAATTGAAGTTTTTTATAGGACCTTTCCATTGCCATCTTTGATTGCCGGAGGATGCCATGCTTCCTCCCCAACATAGCCAGGCCAGTGGCCGATCATCATGCCGTTCATGTCCATTATCAACATTCATAGTCATTCATGATTTTGAGCTGGGAGCTGCAACACAGCTCCCTCATGTTCCGTAAATCACAATTTCTGTTGATGGTTTGCCTCCCATCTTTGCTGGTGATTTCAATTCTGATCCCCCTTCAAAAGAAACATGCTGGATCCTCATCCCGACTAGCAGGGAGAAAAACATATGTGTTGTATACACCAGAGAAAATAGAATATGGCAATTTCAAAAACACACCACTAAAATGGGAATATCTTTGAAAAATCCCATATATCTCATATGACATTATAGTATATATATATATATGAGATATTAAATTATATTATGTTATATTAAATTATATTTTATTGTATTATATTATATTTGATTAAATTAGTTAAATTCAATTAAATTATATTAAATTATATGATATGATATTATATTATATTAAATTAAATTATATTATATTAAATTTAATTAAATTATATTATATTATATTACGTTATATAAAAAATTATATTATATTATATTATATTAAATTATAACCAATTATATGATATTTTATTATATTATTTCAAACTAAATTAAATTATATATTAGATGATATTTTATTAAATTATGTTAAATTAAATTATATTACATTTTATTGAATTATATTATATTAAATTAAATTATATTATATTATATTGAATTAAAATATATTATATATTAACTTATATTAGATTATATTATATTATATTTTTATTTTGTTTTTTTTAAATATTAAGTTAAATTCAATTAAATTATATTATATTAAATTAAATTACATTAAATTAAATTATATTATATTATATTAAATTATGTTAAATTATATTATATTATATTGTTTTATGTACATTTCATTGTTACAGATGTCTGTGTGAACCTCCCAAGCCCCCACTGGTCACCTGGATCTGCGGCATCTCTGACAGCAGCACTGTAGCCAGCTGCCAGCAAGCCGCGCGTGCCAGGCAGCTGATGACCTTCGTGGTGATATGTAAAAATTACATAACTTGACCAACAGTCAACTAGTACTTGTTGGTCAAGTTGTGCAATTTTTTACGTGTATATATATATATATACATGTCAGCTATTATTAGCGATTGGTCAACTATTACTTGTTGGTGATATGAATGGGGTTCTATTAATAGTTACAAGTAATACGTAACCAACAACTATAATAGCTAAGTTGGTTTGCAACTATAGTAAAATAAAGAACTGAGCAATAGAATAAACTCCCTCTGGTAATTTGTCACATAGCTACTGAAAATGGCACATTTAGTTCGTTGATTTACCGAACTTAAAGATTGTGATTTTCCATAGCTAACTGTTAGTTTACCAGTTTACCAGAGGGAACATTAAAATTAATAGTTCTATAGCAAAATTGGTTTGTAACTCCAATTTCACTAGGGTCTATGATGCATATATCGAACTAGTTAATGAACTCATGGGGGTTGTAAACCAACTTATAATGGGTGTCACCACCCTGTGGGTAGATCATCGAACAAAATGGGAAACCCAATTCGTAGCTCCTTGGCTCCCCGTGCCTAGTAGGGAATATAAATACCCCTAGCTCCGAACCGCTCCCTTCTAATCACTGGATGGCAAATGGATGCACATCAGTTTCCATAGCACCGTTAAATTGACAGGGGGGGTTGCACGTCAGTGCACTTTGATGTTGTTTCAGTTGTTTCTGATGGATCCTGTTTACATGTTAAAAACCCTTCCTTTTTTAGATGCCCTGGGGAAAAACATATTGGTCTTAGCTGGTTCGCCACAAATATCCCCAGGTATGGCAATAGATCAAAAGCATTGAAGTAACCAAACGAGATTGATCCAATGCAGGTGGATTTTTTTTTAACTTTTCCTATGGAAAAATGCGATGCCAAACATGGTGATCTTTCTGAAGGCAAGGCGGTACTTCACCAGAATGTAAATGGTCAGTAAGTCTTTGTCCAAGACATTCCAAATTGAATTCCCGCTACTGAACTATGTTCTGAACATTTGTGTATGAATTTATGAAACCTCAAATGGAACGGAGTGGCCTATTATGTTCAAACAAACCGATACAGGGCTGTAGGGTTTGAGGGGGTTGCATGCCATGATACCAAGCGCTGACTATACGCAGCTACACTGCTGAAATCCTGATCTTCATTCTGATTCATTCTGTATCATCTGTATGATTATATTCTTCAACCACTGTCTGACTACCCTTGTAGTGAAAAAGCTGCCAGCTTTAGATATTTGTGTGTGTGTGTGTTTCGGAGAGCCTTCGGAGAGCCTTCAACCACTGTCAGTTGCCCAGAGGGAATACCTACACACCCAAGAAAACAATTACAAATAATGATGATAATAATGATAGTGACTAACATCTGCATCCTCATCCTCATCTTCATCCTTTTCATCAGCAGCAGCACGACCGCCATGTGCATCAGGATCATCATGAGCATCATGGTCATAATCAAACACACATCAGTTATCACTGGTCGCAATTTGGGGCGTAGATCCGTTAGGTTTAGATCCGCTACCTTTCAAAGCTCAAACAATCCAAAAAAATCCCAGAAGTTCGTGTCTGATTGTGGTATCACCAAGAGGCAGTAATGAAGCAAAAGAAACTGCGGGCATGAACGGTTTTTTCCTATCAAAGCAATGCGATTTTTTCGGGATAAGCCGTTGGTTGAAACAATGGCAACCCATCTAATGACAAGTGATCCCTGTCAGTTGAAACTGACGATTGAGGGTTCTGAACGTAGCAGCAGGCATGACGTCGGCTCAATTGACACTGACCTTAAGCCCATGCAAGACTAGAGACCGGCAACAGCAATGCCAAGTAGTGACAACTTTCGCACCTTTATATGCAAGCATATCACCCCTTTAGATCCCCTTTAGACACTTGTTGGCCCATTGTGAGAGAACAATTTTGAGCAGTTTTTGTGGGCCAGCTTGGGTCTTTCGAGCAATTTTGAGCGTTTTGTTGGGCAAGTTTGGGTCATGTCAAGCAATTCTGAACAATTTTTGGCAGCACGATATGGCATTGTTGACCTTAGATACCTTAGACAGTGTTCAAAATTTCTCAATTGAGGCTGCTTTGAGACATCTTATTTTGGCTCAAAAAGGTAGCTGATGTTAAACCCCACGGATCTAGACCCTAAAACGAGATCAGTGAAATTAATAGACATGCTACAGTACTACCTACTAACTATGTTGGCTGTTGCAATCATCAACCACCCATGTCAAATCCTTGAGCAGCTGAGGTGCCATATTGCAAGTGACGCTGTTGGGCACCAATTTCTTCGTGCGCATCCGTGCCAGCAAGTAGGAGGCCTCCTGCCATCGCCCTACCTGCCGGCTGTAGCCCATCAGCATGACCACAGAAAAGTTTTCAGTGGAAAAAAATCTTCCAAAAATCTAAACGTTTCTCCTCTCATTCATCAAAAAACTTGAGTTTGAAGATTTGAGTTCCATCAAGGATCATGTGGCTACGCGAACCCCACCCGAAGCAAATCTTTGGCCAGGTGAAGGTGACTGAATATACCTGAATCAAAAGTTCCAAACCATCAAACAATTACCACATACACCTGACACATACTTTCCAACATCAAAACATGGCTAATGCATCACCTTTCGTACACCACCTGTTGTTCATTATTCACCCATCTATTAACCAACCACTCACCGAGAGTGCCTTGCGGCACAGGGAGATGCGTTTGCTGAAGCCCTGCGGGGTTTTCCAGTCGACCAATGGTACCTCAATGCTGCAACAAGTTGGACAAATGGACACGCCGGACACGCTGCAGATTTGAAAATGGAATCCAACTTGGATTGTGGAATCCCAACTTAGCACACCAATCTTCTAACCTTCACAAGTTGGACACATAGTGCGGAGGCTTTTGGAAGCCCAAACTTGTGTTCGGACTCCAAAACCCGTAGGAAACAACATTATGTTTTAAAGGCTCTTTCTGTGCGCGGCTGATTTCGAGGTTGTTTCTTTTCCATGGCTGACTCCCAAACAAAAAACTACGAGAAGTTCTATGAGGTTGTTGCCCATGAATGGGGCATACCTCAAAATTGCCAATTTTGATCAATTTTGCAGTATAGGGAAATGATGATAATCGATGATCATTGATGATCCATCAAATTGTTGGGTGTCCCTTATTGTTCCTTATTGGTTTTACTCTGGTTTTCCTATGGTTTCCCCTGAAATCTTGAGACATTCCCCTTTTTTCTGCACCTCGAGGCTGATCATCCACCAGGATGTGGATCCATGGCTCAAGGGTCCTGGAGCTGGAGCGCTTCAGCTGGGACTCGATAGTTCGAATTCGATAGCAATCCACAAACGAGAATTAAGCAACATAGACGGAGTTTAGATATCCCAAGATACGCCATACTAAGCCATATGCTATATATGATATATATATATATATATACATATGTATCAACAAATAATTAGACCAGTAGTTTACAACATTCTACAACCCCCTTGGGGCAGATTTTTGTCCATCTTTTTGAGGAGAATGCCGAGCAAATTGCTGTATTCCGCTTGGCGAAAGCTCTGGGGAGCCCCAAGTTCTACTGAAACACCTTGGTGAGTGTAGCATAATGTAGTTTAGTAACCTTGGGAAATTCCTCAAATTCAAGAAAGCCCCTCATGATCAACCACCACATGGGCAAATGGGACCGGGACATGTTGTAAAATCCCTTCATGTGGTCGTCATGTGGTGCACTCATCATCCACCGAGACATTCCGGAAACCAGCTAAGGGTTGAGGGAGCAGTGGTACCCCAACCACTGGTTATGGAAAGTGAAGTGATGAGCTATGGGACCCCAAATTTTGGAACTACATGGGCCTGCACAGACATACTAACCCTCAAGCCAAGATAGTATGTTTAAAACCGTGTGGCATGAAATTGCCAGTGGGGCTTGTGTGCTGCTGGAGAATACAAATAGAACTTAGCGGGTATACAGTAAAATACAAAGGGACACTGATACTAGACACACAAAAGTACTAACCATGACTATACAATACTCTACCTGTACATTCATCCAACGTCCTGTTCGCCACGGCACGTCACTGCAACAGTCAGCGCTATGGGTGCCATAGCTCAACAGTAAAAGTGGCCAAAAGACATTTATTGTCCAGTGTCTACTCGACCCGTGCCGGTATGATAGTTGATGAATGTTGTTGATAGGCTTAGGGTGGGTTATGTCCTAAGTTGTGGCTGTCTGCCAGGAATCAGGGTGTTCCACTCCGTTTCCGAATTATCATTTCATCTGCTTCTCATACATCTGCATCTAGGTGCATCTAAGTAGTTTGGCCACCGGAACCGCAAGTACCCGAGGTCAAGTGCCATCTGCTGACCAAAAAAATACGCTATCTAGCTGGTGTTTTTTTCACTCATCCTAATAAAGATTAAAAAAAAACATGAGTCCATAGGACGGGGTTTAATATTCATCATGATCCCAGGCCGCAATGAAAAAAGTCTCTGCAGTATTGAGAACCTACGGTTAGGCAGGCGTTCTCACAGGCGACCGGTGGCTTGAACAGCCGTGCGTACCTTCGTCTGCACTTGGATCCTCTGCAGCCCTCCCGCTGATCGCATGAATCTAGAATTGCATCTTCTTGTCTGGATAACAAAACATAACAAATGATTATAAATGATGCCATGGCATGTGTTGACATTCCGCTTCCAACAATCACTCAAATAAACCCTTACCGTTTTGAATCAGTTTGGATATGCTTTTCACATTCGAATAAACGTCAACTGCGGATTGCGCAATGCCACGTCAATGATCTTCCATGCCTTGGTCCAGCTACCTTTCCCAATGAGCTTTGCCCAACAATGGGGTATACCAAAATCACCAAATTATATAATAGGAACATGGCGATAGATCATTGGATTTGGGGCACTCCATTTTCAGACAAACCCAAGTTGCATCTAACGCTTCAAGGGAATTTCACCTTAAACAAATAGTAAAAAGTCAAGTCGCAATGGCATCGTTGACAACTGCGGTCCACTCCCAGCTGATCCTTTTCTCCGTACCACGCGATCCCAACAGAATTCCGTCCATTTGCACTGGACACACGCGGCCAAATTCCATCCTACGTAGGACCTGGCAGCCTGTTTCCCTGGTTGGGCTCAACCCATCTGAACATCTCAAATGGCCGTGTCAGGTTGTTCAGGGATCATCATACCACAAATGACGAAATCACTTGTTCGGTTCCACCTGCGCATCAGTGGTGAATACGGTCAATGCTAAAATGTCCCGTTTGAAGATCCCCTAGCCATCGGGGAACCACTGCCAACAACCATCCGAGGTGATATCTTCAATTTATTTCTTCCATAGTTTTTCAACCATCATGTCAGTAATCTCTACAAGGCTCTTGAAATGCTTCCAAGTTATCCCCCTTTCTTGGGCCATTTCAGAAAAAAAATCATATGGCCTGGAGGCCCTGGACGGCCCTAGCGGCTCTGCAGGGGAGCTCATTCAACAACCGCGGCAGACTCCGTAGGGCGCCGCTCTGGTAGGCCATGGAGCTGCTCAGGGCCATGCAGGCGGTGTTATAGGCGATCAAATCCTTGGAGCTATCCATCCGTCTCTTTTTAAATACCTAATGGTCTAATCCAATCCATCAACCAATCCATCCGTCCATCCATCCGTACATCCGTCCGTCCACATATATATATATATTATAATTGTTTATGTATGTATGTATGTATGTATGTATGTATGTATGCATGTACGTATGTATGCATGTATGTATGCATGTATGTATGCATGTATGTATGCATGTATGTATGCATGTATGTATGCATGTATGTATATGTATGTATATGTATGTATATGTATGTATATGTATGTATATGTATGTATGTATGTATATGTATATGTATGTATATATATGTATGTATGTATGTATATGTGTATGTGTATATATGTATGTATATGTATGTATATGTATGTATGTATATGTATGTATATGTATATGTATATGTATATATATGTATATATATAATGTATGTAATGTAAATGCATGTATGCATGTATGCATGTAATGCATGTATGCATGTATGCATGTATGCATGTATGCATGTATGCATGTATGCATGTATGCATGTATGCATGTATGTATGCATGTATGTATGCATGTATGTATGTGTATGTATATGTTGTATGTATGTATGTATTGTATATGTATGTATATGTATGTATGTATGTATGTATGTATGTATGTATGTATGTATGTATGTATGTATGTATGTATGTATGTATGTATGTATGTATGTATGTATGTATATGTATGTATGTATGTATGTATTGTGACACATCTTAGTCTAGCTGCGTAGTAGTGTTAGTTCTGCCACGGTTTTCACACATGTTTCGCATGCATGTTGTATAGTTGTTTCACTAACTTGTTTTGGCTCAAGCTTAACTAGCTTGATTGGCACGTAGTAGCGAACGCTGCTCACGACCGCAATCCTCGTGAGGGGGAAAAGCAGCTGCGCCGGTTCTGTGTTCTGTACTGGCGTTCCTCACAATTGGGGGCTGTTCTGGGAAACTTCGATCTTTGAGAGATCGGCTGCGGTCGTTGGGAGCGTTTCGCCCCACGACGCGCCGTGTTGGGCTGATCCGCGGGCTGTGCTCGTGGTTCACGGCACGGCCGCGGAATGAGTTCGCAAGTTGTTGGAGAACCTGAAGGGACTACGTTGGTAGAAGCTATCGACGCTGGCAGGGTCGAGACGCCAGGAGAGTTGAGCTTTCCTCAGTGGCAGAGATGGCGTAAGGGTCCGGGCAAGAGGCCGACAGTCAGGCGAGATGGCCGGGGACTGTCAACCAAGGAGGAGGTAGACCTTTGGCGTGCCGTCATGGTCCACCTCTACGGCGCTGGCAAGGCCGAAGCGTTGCCGGAGGAAGACGAGGAAGAGGAGCAGGAACTGGTTCCGGCTTACTCGCCCTCGGTCGCGGCTACGCCTGCATCTCCGGGATCTGTCCGATCCGAAGCAGGTGGTGGCGACAACAGCCCGAGGCCACCCTCAGTAGGATCTATGGGCGCCAGTGTCTCAAGCCTGAAAGGTTGTTTGGATGCTCTCTATGATCCTTCGGCCGAGGAGTTCGGAGCGTACTTGGCGCGGATAGGCCGTGTCATTAACGCCTTGCGAAGCTTGGATGCTTCAGTTCCTCCTGGAATGCTGAAGAAAACGACCCGAAAAGCTGAACTGATGATCGAGCTGTACGCGGAGTTCGGCGGACCGGACAAAGTGAAGGGAGTTCGGTACCTGAGGGACAAGTTCGTGGCGACCGTGGAAGATGAGACGCTGGACGACAGTGATCGGGAGCTCTCCATCATAGCTCTTGGCGAAGTGATCGAGAAGCTTGGAGGGAAAATGAGCTCCAGTCCTGGTGAAGCTGTTCAGCACTCCATCGGAAGAAGGAAGAATGGACGGAGTAGCGGCCGCCCGCGGTCCAGTCAACGGACGCGGCGTCGGAAGTTCCGAAGTCCCGAGTAAGAACCCGGACAAGGAAGGGGACTCTCCACTTCGCGCTCGTCTAGCGGCCTTGGAAATGGAGCTGGAAGCGCTGAAACGAGATAAGGCGGAGTCTGAGATCGGTTCTTCGGCCGGCGGTGGTCAAGACCTGAGTCTTGCGGCCGCTTTGGAGGCGCAGACCCAAGTTCTGAAGGAAGCGCTCGCTGGGCGTGGAAAGGACTCGTCGGTCACAGCAGTGAAAACAGATCTTCACTGGCCCACTTTAGGCGACGACAGGGCTGACTCAAGGGACGTGACTCAGTTCTACGAGGAATTTGAGGACGTCTGCGCTCTGGCCAACTCTTGCAAGGGCATGAGCCACCGTGAAATGCTCTTGGCCTTGCGGGCGCGATGCCGCGGCTCCAGGTTGAAGACATATTCAAACATGTATCGGGCTGCATGGAAGGCAGGAGAAGTTCTTTCTGATCCTGGTGCAGTCTACGAAAGGATCAAGAGCAAACATCTGATGTTCAGTGAAAGCCGCGAAGAGCGTGAAATCCGTATTAATGCCGAACACGCCTCTCTGGTCAAGGGCCGGCTGACGGGCCATCAATTTGAGCCAGTGTTTGAAGCTTCGGTGGCAGAGTTAGAGGCGGTCGGGCTTGGAAAGACACCGAGAGAGTTGTTTCTGAGCTATCTGATGAAGATGCCTCCCTCTCTTCAAAAGGAAATCCGAGCGGACAAGCGCATCTGGCAGGAAGAAGATCGGCTTCGTGGCCCACAGACGTGGGAAGAAGCTCACCGAGTTGTCCTGGAGTTCGAGCAACGCGAAGCGACGAACAGGGCTACAGCCAATGCGGTGTATGCTGCGTCGTCGTCAGAGCTCTCTGAGATGACGCCGAACCAGCCAAAGGCTAAGGCGAAGCCTAAGCCAACTCCAGTTGCTGTCACCGCTGGAGATCCAAGGAAAGAGAGGCTCTGTTGGAATTTCAGAGATTACGGTTCTTGCAGCAAGGGTAACTTGCATCCACTTAGCGGCATTACGGTATTACAAAAAAAAATTGCCCTTACACGAGAAAGTTACTTACACGAGAAAGTTACTGAAACGAGAAATAAAAATAAAAAAGTGGAGTAGACAGCTTCTTTTAAGAAAGTGTTTGTAAAAGGAATGAAGGAGAAGGAAGCATATAAACCAAAAGGAGTGCTAATGTCTCCATGGGTGAAATATCAGATTGCGTGTGCTCAAATTTTAATGCATGTGTGTGCCGGCAGTGACAATGTCATGTCTTCCAACAGCAAGAAAGTAGCTTCAATCATCGGTCCACGCATTTTTTCTCTTGGGCAAACGAGGATTCCAAATATCTACAGCAAGTTTGGTTTGTGCAAGCCACAAACAGGTGAATTAAAGATGGGTTCCCATAGATTTTGAAATCATATGAATTAGACTCGAATAGGCTGAAGCAGCCATGTGCTGAAGCAGCCATAGCTTGGCCGAAGCAGCCATAGCTTGGCCGAAGCAGCCATAGCTTGGCCGAAGCAGCCATAGCTTGGCCGATGCAGTCAAAATGCTACTTCTCATCACTTTGTTTTTTCTTTTTCATTCATCCACTTAACCCCTTTTCTTCTCACAATTTCGATCCGCATAGTGGAAGCAAGCTTGCTTTCCGATGGCCATGTGCTGGTCTGAAGCAGCCTGTACTTCTGGTACAGCTTTTCCACATGGAACCTTTTGAGAAGATCCCTTTGGATGACTTTGGCATCAGGCTTAGTGACTACACTGGGGTTGCCACGTCATCGTGGAAGTTCGGGCGGCGGCATCATCATCAGCATGGAAACGGTCATATGTAGTTTAAGCCTAGAGCCTAAATGTGCGAGAAACCGCAAATGATTATGTTTCAGAACATGTACAGCAAACATGAGACAAACCGACTGACAACAGGACATCCCCCTAAGAGAGTCGACACTTTTACCTTTCAACCTGTCATGTTTGTGGGAAATTAAAAGCAGCTTTTTTTTTCGATCCCACATGGAAGGCACAATCAAAACTGCCTATAGGTCCGAAGTGCCTATGTCGCAGCCACATCGTCGCCTATGGCCGAGGCAGCCACACGGCCGATGCAACCGTGGTATGGCCGATGCAGCCACGTCGTCTCGTCTATGGCCGAGGCAGCCACATCACTTGTCTCCATTGTCCTCTTCGTCGTCATCGTCGTCGTCTCCCAAAGGATTCCAGACGTCGTCTTCTTCATCTTCGTCGTTTTCCTCTTCGCCTTCCTCCTGCTCATCCTTTGTTTGCTTGGCTTTGGCTTTTGCCTTAGCCGCTAAGGCAAAAGCCAAAGCCAAGCAAACAAAGGATGAGCCTTAGCCTTTGGTTTGGCCTTTCCCTTGCCTTTGGCCTTTGCCTTTACCTTTGCCTTTGGTTTTGCGGTCTGATTCACAGGTGCCTGCCCACTGCCACCGACGGCTTCACTGTAAGCTGACGAAAACAAGCTGGACTCAGGGTTTGTCATTTCTTTTTCAAGCAATGCAAGCAGCCGGTGGTGCTCTGGGTTGAAGGCAACTCCTACATACCCTATACCCGATTTCGCAAGGCTGCCCAAGCCATGCGGCCGTCCAGAGGTGTCAGATCGATAATGATCTTCGCGAAAAGTCGTGGATCGACTCGTCGCAGAGCTCATAGGACTGTGGTAGCAAACTGGCTCCAAGACCGAACCAGTCTGTGAGGTTATATTCCAGGCCGAAACAGCCTGTGATTGCAGGCCGAGGCAGCCTGGAACGTTTCACGGTTTAAGCCGAAACAGCTTTTACACACGGAAAAGCTTGTGAGCCGAAAACAACGAGAAACGACTTGAGTGAGGCTTCTAAGGAGGGGACTAATAGTTCTCTCCTTAGACTGACAGCAGCGAAGTGTGTAAGGAGAGGGCTGTGAGAGGACTATTCGAAAAAGGTTGTTTTGCCCTAAGGAATTTTATTCAATAGTCCTCTCACAGCCCTCTTCTTACACAGCTCACTGACGAAGGCCCAAGGCAGCCAGGGTGGCCGAAACAGCCAAGCTCAGGCAACATGACGACCTGTGACGACCTCTCCTTACACAGCAGGTTTTTGGTTAAACATGCTGTGTAAGGAGAGGTCATTTCGTCCTCTCCTTACACAGGTAGGGGACGTCCCCGATGCTCGGTTGGAGAGGACAAACAGAGGACAACAGCTTGTAAAACCGAAACACTTAGTAGTATTACACGTTCGTCCTCTATTCGTCCTCTCCTTACACAGCTAGGGGACGTCCCCGACCTTCGGTTGGAGAGGGCAAATCGCCCTCTCCATAGGATAGGGTTTTTGATTATATCCCTTAGGAGGTTAGGGGACGTCCCCGAATTAGAGTCTTAGGAGGTTAAGGGATGTCCCCGAATTACCCCTTAGGAGGTTAGGGGACGTCCCCGAATTAGAGTCTTAGGAGGTTAAGGGATGTCCCCGAATTACCCCTTAGGAGGTTAGGGGACGTCCCCGAATTAGAGTCTTAGGAGGTTAGGGGATGTCCCCGAATTACCCCTTAGGAGGTTAGGGGACGTCCCCGAATTAGAGTCTTAGGAGGTTAGGGGATGTCCCCGAATTAGGGTCTTATAGTCTTAAGAGGTGACATCCCTGTAATTCTTAAGATGATTTTTAAACATATGTCAAAATCCCTTATGACATAAAAAAGAAAATATCCCCCTTACCAGGTTAAAGGACATTTGAATAGTAAACAGTAAACATGTTACATATTTTCCCCTTTTTGGATTCAAATACTCTTTGGTGGTTTCAAAGTCTCTTCCACAACCTGGTCCCAAGAAGGCCACAGCAGCCACTATTTTCTAAGAGACAGTCTGTCTTCTCGAAACCCTTGCTGGCCGAAACAGCCAGGCGATTTGGCCGAAGCAGCCAAGCTTCTGTGGCTGAAGCCTGAAGCAACCACTTTTTTCAAAAAAAAAGTTTCGGGCAGGCCGAAGCAGCCTGGCAACGAGCAGGCCGAAGCAGCCTGACTACGCCCTTAATCTCAAGCCTCGGCCGCAGCAGCTTGGGTGAGTTGAAATACCCAGGTGGCTCCTGAGCAGTGTCCAACCCTCAATCGATTGTCCACTTCTGACCTCAAGTTTGGCAGCATTGGCTGATTGTCTTCTGTATTCAAACTCAAGTGTGCTGACCTTAATATTTCACAGCTTGCCATTTCATCTGCTGCTGCATCAGCAGCGAGTGCCACAACTCTTGACCGCAGGTGTTTAAAAAGATTTTTCTTCAAACGCCCAGGATTCTGACTAAGAGGAGCCATATAAAATCTAGAGCAAGCACGCTTCATGACTGCCCATGTGGCTAAGGAGACATTGGCAGCTCCTGTTCCAGCTTGCCTTGCTTGGCCTAAAAAGCCACTTCGAGTTGTCAAGTCTGGGGCCACAGCCATGAATCGTATGGCCAACCGCACATGCCGCTCATCCCGCATCAAAGAAATGTGAGAAGATTTCGCAATGAACGTTTGGTCCAAAGCTTTTAACCCCTCTGCCAAACACCATGCCATTTGCAGCTCTTTTTGCGTCAATGATCTTTTCTCGCCAAAGCACTCCATCAGCTCTTGAAACTGACTCAATGCCAGGGCTGCATCGGGACTAGGACCAACACAGCCCCCTTCCTTCAACCATTCCTTCACCGCTGCCTTGTGCGCCTTGCTTTTATGGTGCTTCATCAAATTGCAGTTCTGCAGTTGGCCCTTCTTGGTCATTGAATAAGAAGCGAAAGGATTGGAAACCCCAGTTTCCTTGCACACTTTACAACCAACACCCCAAGGTTGCTGCTTCACATCCAATCATGACCCTAGCTCTGGCTGGCCATCTGAGACGAGGAACATGTTACACCATTTTTTGCCCGAACTACGCCATCTGAATTTGGCCCCGGTTTCCAAGCTTGACATTGCTACCGTGGCCGAAGCAGCCACTAAAATGGCCGAGCCAAGCCAGTACCGCGGCCGAAACAGCCACAATGGAGCGGCGCATCTTAACCATTGAGCCAAAAGAAAACGAGAAAAGAAAATAGTCATGACACTTGTTAAAATATCTAGCCGGGCGTCTATACGAGAAATTTCCTTCTGCGGACGTCGCCAGGCAGAGAACAGAAAAGCTGTCCCACAATAAGTGTGTCAGAAGAAAAATGTGTCATATACCACAACTAAGGAAAATTGAGCTGAGAATTCTAGTAGAACGCATGTGGCATGGTTTTAAAAGTCATGAAGGTTTTTGTAACAAAGTCTGAAAATACAAAGCGACGAGTTCTGAAAATAGCTTAATTTTGAAAAACCAAAACGAGAAAATATCTCCAAAGCCCCAATTTTTTTTGTAATACCGTAATACGCTTACGTGGATGCAAGGTAAAGACTGTCCATTTTCCCACGACAAGGATCTGAGGAAGAAGGCTCTGGAAAGTAAAGGTAAAGGGAAGTCAGGGCAGTCCGGAGGACAGGAGTCTTACCCAGCGAAAGGCCAAGGGAAATCTAAGGGCAAAGGAAAAGGAAAGGGAGGCAAGGGTTCGCCTGCGCCGGAGCAGCAGCCGAAGCCGAAGGAAAAGAGCGATCGGCCGTGTCCGTTCTTCGCTAAGAACGGGGCGTGCAAGAAGGGCGACGCCTGCGATATGTCCCACTCCTTGCCCACAGCGCCTGCTGTTGGCCAATCGGGGAACAGTAGCGGGTCGGTCCTGGGCTGGAACTCAGGTCCAAGTGGAGCAGGTCTCACCAACCCGTTCGCTGCCTTCACTGTCGTAGCAGTGAAGCCAGGCGAGGATTCTCCAGGGTCAGCGGTTGCTGCTGCAGTTTTCGCGGCAGGAACGCGATCCGTCGGAGAAGATGGCGGAGCCAGCAAAGCGCTGACCTCTTTGGACGAGATCCTAAAGGCATGGTGGAAAGTCGTTGAGAATGAGCGGGGCGGGTATCAGTACAAAACGGTGACAAAGGTCTTAGACAAGAGAGTGGAGACGTTGCTCGACGGAGGAGCAGGGTCGAACCACGTCACCGAGGAACTTGTAGTGAGCATCCTGAACCGAGCTGCTGCCCTAGGGTTGAAGCCTGATGATTCCCGTTTCCCCATTATTCAGTTCGAACAATGGGTCTATCCAGAGTACGTGCATGGGATCGCGAGCGGATCACCGGTTCCGTTGAAGGGATCGGTCGTGCTTCGTGTTCGGTTGCAAGAAGGCAACAGCGTCGAGAAGTCCGTGGACGGCCACGAACTTTTTGTTCGTTGTAAAATAGCAGCCAAAGGAACAAGTGACTGGCACGGACTGATTCTCGGCGGGCGTGCTCTCGATTGCGAGGCGCGCCGCGGTCTCGGTTTCCGCCCAGGTCCTCAGTCGCACATCTTGGACACTTTGGGAGTGAGGATCCCCCGGTGCGAAGACTCTTCTGTCGAAAGGAAGGACCGAGCATACGTGCTGCAGTCGGTTATCTCTGCTTTTGATGCAACGCTCCAGGATGCAGACGAGCCTGGAAGCGGTCGCAGGGCTCCAGTGGTGTTTGCCGGCGATGAAGAAGTTCAACTTCTGCCCGGCGAGGGCGCTCTGGTTCCGGTTTGTGTGGAAGAAGATTTCCTTTGTGACGCGTCTCAGTGTCAAGCCGTCCTCCCAATCGAAGGAAGAATTGAAGTCGTTCCTGGTCTCTGGGATACAGGAAGCCGAAAAGGCATGGTTTTGGTCACGCCTAGGCAGGAAGAAATCGTCCTTGAGAAAGGGGACCCTGTGGGGGAACTGCGAAACGGCTTGGCTGCATCGAAAAAGTGCGGCTGTGGTGCTTTGGATATGATTTTCGAATCTTCGGAAAGGGAAGAGCGTTGCGACCACTGCAGCGGCCCACGTATGGCGGTTAGAGTGGAGGAATGCCACGCGTGTGGCCAAAAGGAAGAGAAGGAAGTCGTCCGCCTGCAAGGCTGCAGGTGTGGCTCTAGGAAGCAACCGCGAGACTTGAAAAGCAAGACAAGAGGATATGGGTTGCTTGCGGCCGTAGTTGGGGTTGCGGCGTTGTTCTCCGGCGCTCCGGCAAGTTTTGCCTTCACGAGTCGAACAGAGAAGTCAGATTGCGAGGACCGCTGGGCGACATTTCCAGGTGGCTGGGTCAGAGTTCATGAGCAGGTTCGTGAAGACCTCTATGAGCTCGACAGTGACGGGTTTCCTGGCGAGGTCGCAGCGGTCGGACCACGACGCGTGACCGTCGGTCATTTTCTGACGGGCGAACCGCTGGAGTGGGAAGATGAGAGAAACGATGATCCGAGGGTCTTTACTTTGGTGCCAGCTCGGACTTATAAGTGGGTTATAACCTAGGGTTATATCCCAGTTACTAAGTCATAACTTCTTAGCTAACTTTTTGTAACTTTTTTTTGCTATAAAAAAAGTGTCTTTAAAAGTGATCAAATTTTGATCTTTTTGATGATTTTGAGTGTTTGCTGTTTGAAGCGTTTTCAACTGCTCAAAAAAATGCCAAATGGAGCGGTTTTCAAACCTCTAAAACTATTTTTGTTGGAACAGCCGTTTTCAGCATGTCAAACACTATAATTAATCACGTGTTAAAACCCAAACTGTGAATGAAGATGTGTTCATGTCCACTAGAGAGGATGTATTGCTTGAAGAAGTGTCCAGGTGTTCACTTTACCTTGGCTAAATGCTGCAGAGTCCCTTTGACAAAACTCAATTTTTGCAGGATATCCTAGATGTCTTCAACGTAATTACAATATACATCAACATACCCATACCTGCCAACAAATGCATGCAGTGTTCAAAACAGAAATGCAGCATACCCTTCTTCATAAGTGCAATCTTCCTTTGGAGCAACGCAGTGTGTTTTTGCAGAACAATATCCCTTAGCTAAACTCAAAAACTCGCTGCCGTGGATATGTTGAAAACCGCACGAAGAGTTAGCGGGGGGGCGAACGTAGGGGCGAACATGCGGGCGAACGGGTGGACGAACGTCGCCCGCACGAGCGAGCGGGGGGGCGAGCGGGGGGGCGAGCGGACGGGCGAACGATTTGACTAGTCTTGTTTTGCCTGGTGATAATTAGTACAGTCAACCTGTGCCGAAATTATTTTACACCTACTTATACAACCCAAGAATACTGGTACAAAGTTGTTGGTATTCGAAACCCGTGCAATTTTGAGGGCGGGCCCACCCCCTTGAGGGCGCATTAAGGGGTCGCACGAAGGGGTCGCACATACGCATGTACGCACGTACGTACGCATGCACGCACGCACGTTCATGTGCATGTACGCACGCACGTTCACATGCATGTTCAGAAATAAGGTTACCTTTAAGGTTACCTTTTATATAAAAGGTAACCTTATTTCTGTACGACCCTAAGCCTCCTAAAGCATATTTAGTATTAGGAGGTCACTTTTCAAAGGTAACCTTATTTCTGAACATGGGTCTGAACATGGGCTTGAACATGGGTCTGAACATGGTACCTACGTACGTGCATACGTGCGAACGTACGTGCGTACGTCTGTGCGTACGTATGTGCGTACGTGTGTGCATGTGTGCGTTCGCCCCCCCGTTCGCCCCCCGGTTCGTCCCCCCGTTCGCCCCCCCGTTCCCCCCCCGTTCGCCCGCCGTACCCTCGCTCAGATGGCCGTACGCCCCCCCACGTTCAATACGTTTAAATAACTTCAAAAACAGGCCGCAGCGACCTTTTGGGTTTAGCTAAAATATCCCTATGAAATATCAAATGTTCCTTTAAAAGATACACCATGCCCTTTGGAGGAGTACAGTGTGCATTTAACAAAATTTCCTTTGAAAGGGGTCCTCAAGGTGAAAGGGGTCCTGGCCTAGAAGCCTCCAAGATTAATTTCGACCGAGTTTTTGCCTTTGTATGAAAAACTCGGTCGAAATTAATCTCGGGGGCTTCGCGCGCATAAGGAACATTCTTGGCCAGGACCTCTTTCACCTGGGGGCCCGTTTCAAAGGAAATCTTGTTATTTCCACATGTCTAACCTTCCTTTCAAAGGAGCAGTATCCCTTTTAGAAAAGCCAATATTGCTGCACAATATGCTGTATTTTTGACATAGAGCATCCCTTTCAAAAGTGCAATATGTTTTGAAATGTGAGATTTTTTCAGAATGTTTTTTCGCTCCTTACAACAGAGCATTGTCCTTTATGGCAACACAATCTTCCTTTGAAAAAGCAGCATCCGTGGAAACCTGGATTGCTGTTCATTGATATATGTATCTAATCTACTCTAATCTAATCCAATTCAATCCAATCCAATCCAATCCAGAGATATCTCATCTATATAATCCAATCCAATCCAATCAAACCCAAACAAATCCAATCCAATCCAGTCCAATCCAATCATATCCAATCCAATCCAATCTATCTAACCTAGCCAAATCAAATCTAATCCAATCCAATCCTATCCAATTCAATCCAATCCAATCAAATCCAATCTATCTAATCTAATCTAATCCAATCTAATCCAATCCAAGCCAATCCAATCTAATGTAATCTAATCTAATCTAATTCCAATCCAACCTAATCCAATCCAATCTAACCTAATCTAATCTAATTTTAATCCAATCCAATCCAGTCCAATCCAACCCAACCCATCCCAATCCATTCCAATCCAATCTAATCTATCTAATCTAATCTAATCTAATTCCAATCCAACCCAATCCAATCCAATCTAACCTACTCTAATCTAACCTTATCTAATGTAATTTCAATCCAATCCAATCCAACCCAATCTAGTCTAATCTAATTCCAATCCAATCTTATTGAAGTGCTGTAAAGGCCTCTGTGGTATATGGGTGGGATATATTGAGATATACTAGGGGAAACTGGTGTTTACTTGGGGATACTACGGTATACCATGGTATACTGACCGTATACCATGGTATACTGACCGTATACCATGGTATACTGACCGTATACCATGGTATACTGACCGTATACCATGGTATACTGACCGTATACCATGGTATACTGGTGGTATACTGGTGGTATACTGGTGGTATACTGGTGGTATACTGGTGGTATACTGGTGGCACACTGGTGGTATACTGTGTGGTGGTATACTGGTGGCACACTGGTGGTATACTGGTACACTCCCTAATCCAATCCAATCCAATCTAATCTAAAAATCTAAATCCAATCAAATCCAATCCAATCCAATCCAACCTAATCTAAACTAATCTAAGCTAATCTAATCCAATCTAATCTAATCTAATTCCAATCCAATCCAATCCAATCCAATGCAGTCTAATTCCAATCCAACAAAACCAAATCCAATCCAATCTAACCTAACCTAATCTAATCTAATCCAACCCAACCCAATCTAATCCAACCCACTCAAATCCAATCTATCTAATCTAATCTAATCCAATCCAGTCAAGTCCAATCTATCTAATCTAATCTAATCTAATCCAATCCAATCCAGTCCAAACCAACCCAACCCAATCCAATCCAATCCAATCCAAGCCAAGCCAATCCAATCTATCTAATCTAATCTAATCCAATCCAGTCCCTCACCCAATCCAATCCAATCCAAAGCAAGCCAAGCCAATCCAATCTATCTAATCTAATCTAATCCAATCTAATCTAATTCAATCCCTCAGTCCCTCACCCAAGCCTGTAAAGACCTCTGTGGTATATGGGGACGTCTCAAAATGAGGCGCGCCTTTTTTGACCCCCAAAACGCTACTTTAAAAAAAAAGGGCTCGCCTCATTTTGAGACATTCCCATATGGGTGGGATATATTGGGATGTACTAGGGGAAACTGGGGTTTATAGTCAGCAATGTCAATATCAAAAAAAGTACTCATTGGCTGCCTTTGTTTTTTCATAGTCTTCTGGCATGTTTTCAAAAATAAGTCAAAAACAAAATTGCTTAATCCATGCCCCAAGCCCCTAACCTTCCCCCAAGGATACCTGTTTTTCCTTGGTTTTTACATGGTTTCTAATGGAACCAGAGACCTAAAGCAAGCAGAAACAACCACAAACAAATTTGCAATGCCTAAGGGGGGAAAAGTGGCAAAGAGTTAGATCCTGCCACTTTTTTGCCAGTCCCTCAAAATAACAACGAACCAAGAAAGCAAAACACCAAAAAAACAAAAAAAACAAAAAAAAACAAGATTGCACACCCCAAGGGGAGGGGGTCAGATGCAGTTTGTTGTTGTTTTTTTTGGTTTCTTGTTTTTTTGTTTTTTGTTTTGTTTTTTTGTCTTTGTAAAAAGAAAAGAAACTGCAAAGGTGAGATTGCAAAGAGCAAACTAACCCATTGCAGGTGCATAAAGCACCTAAAAAGGCGCGCTCCCACAGTGGCCTGTTCTGTTTAAAAACCAGTTGCACATTCCCTCAGCCATGGAAGCGATGAAAACCGCGATTTTTTCTAAAAAACAACTTCGAAGCGGCTCAACCGCTATAATTAGAAAAACTATTGTTTTCGATACACTAAAAACAAGTGTTTTTTTCAATTTTTCTAAGTTATAAAAATGTGCTAAAATTGTTGATATTTTCTTCACTTCATAACTTTTCATAACTTCTTGTATAACTTTAGTTATAACCAGTTATAACTTCGACTTGGCACCAAAGTAGGGGACGTCCTTGGGTAGGCGAAACCAGGTTCTTTAAGGAGCCAACTGGAGGCCAGGTGCCCTGGAGGAGCACCATCACAGAGCCAGTGTTTCACATCGTGGAAGTCCCGGGAGAAATCGACCGAATGGCCGAAGAGACCCCGACCGACTTCTACTATGACAAGCTTCGGGAGTCAATGGGACAGCGGTATCCGAAAGCGGACCGTTTTCTGCTCGACCATCTTGTCTCCTTGGAAGCATTTTTGGACAAGAGTATTGTTTTCGGATTCAGCTACGGCGTGGCTAAAGCAGAGCTGTGCTGTACTGAAGGTAAATTGCTTGGCCACTTGATCGGCAGAAACGGGACTGCGCCTGACCCAGAGAGGTCGCAAGCGGTTCGCGATTTTGCTCCTTTAAAGGAGAAACTCCACATCCAGCAGTTCTTGGGGTGTACAAATTGGCTCAGGACGTACCTCCCAGCGGAGTTCGGTCACTGTGCAAAAATCCTTTCGAAATACCAAAAGTCAGGAGCGGTCTTTCCGGAAGGCGGCTTGGGAAGCAGCAACACGGAAGGGTGCCAGGCCGTCAAGGCTATCAAGCAGATGATGGCCAAAGCAATTGAACTCACAGTTTTTGATGAAGCGGCGGCAATTGCAGGAGTCTGCCCGCTCGAACAGATCGCCGACGCATCAGGGATTGCAGTCGGTGGAACGGTCTTGCAAATGTCTCGAGACCTGAGCAGGATGAAAGTCCTCCTCACTCACTCGCGTAGTTTGACAGCGCCTCAGCAATCATGGCCACCGTTAGTGCAAGAGGCCTTCGCCCAATTGGAGGTGAAGAGACAGACGCGGAAGACTTTCGGATCGATCAAGACTTTGTGCTGGACCGACCATTCGAATTTGACTCGAGCGCAGCACATTGAAATCGGTTCCGATGTGAAACTTGTACGGTGGGTAGCAGAGATTCTTGCTGATGGTTCTGAGATCCGATCGCTTAGTGGGCGGAGTGCGAAGCTTGGGGATAGATTCTCAAGAAATCCCAAGGAAAGAGACGCCTTGCTCCAAGGGCGTACTCGGGATCTTCAAGGGCTTTCAGGCCATCTGAAAGGGTTTAGTCTGGAAGAATATTTGGGCGGGGACACGGAGGAACCGTCCATTCCTGTTGCGTGGGCGGTAGGCAACGATGCGGTTCCAGAGGAAGTCTCAGCAGAAGAGGCTCGCGGGAGCGTTTCCGTTTCGGGACGCTCCGCGGAATTAGGCGACGTTGCAGACCGCGGGAGTGGCCTCGTGTCGAGACACTCCGCGTCTGGCACGGCAGAGATCGGACGCCTCAGCTCTGACGGAAAGGGTTTGGAGGCTAAAGTCCTATTTGTTGGGGACTACGTGGATCACGGACTAAATGCTGCGGAAGTTGCTCGTTTGCATTCTTTGTTCATGAGCGCCATGCCAGGGTGGAAACTGTCAATCCAGGCTGTGTATGGTGCGTTTGAAGATGACGATGGGGTTGCGTCTCATTTGGACGGCGCGACGGCGCATCTGAAGGGAGAAAAGCAAATCAAGAGAGCCAGGGTCGACATTCTAACTTCTTGCGCTACGGTGCTCCGAAGCATCGGCTACCACATCCCTGATTTTGTGGTTGGAATCGGGCAAGGAGGGTTGATCGTGGGTCTGCTTCGCTTCCCTCTCCTGGTTGAGGTGACGCTGCAAGCTAGGAACCTACAACGGGAAGAGATTCGGAAGGTGGTCGCTGGGTGGGCGAACCTGAAAGCAGTTTGGAGCGTCAACCCAAGGCTTTGGAAGGTGAGGCCAGACGCTGAGCTACTGCTGGGGGCGTGCCCAGAGCTGCGAAAGAATTTTCCAATCGAACCAACCCGTGGTTATGGAGTGATCACGCGTGTTCCCAAGGAAGACGAAGTCAGACAAGTGGCCAATGCTCTGGCTTTGGATCTCATCAAGGGTCTTGCAGACCCGCCGCTCTCCAGTTTGGCGCAGGAGCCTGGAAGGGAACACTGGGAGCATAACGGAAAATGCGCCTGTGGAAAGCGCACCTATGCCTTCAGTAGATGTTCGAGCTGCATCGAAAAGGAAGCTGCAGATGACCTGCGCGCAGGGGCTCAGGAAAGAGAAGAAGCTCAGGAAGTTGAGTTGGATGGAGAAGAGCTGTTCGTGATCGGGTCGCGCCCGCTTTCTCCTTCGGAGCCGAGATCGTGCAGTGTCCACATCAAGCTTGTCCAGGAATGGGCAACCAGCTGGTTCCGTTTGGAAATTCCGGACAAGTTTGTGCAGCTCCCTCGCGGACTTGGTAAAGTCGCGGGTAGAAAATGGAAGGAAGGAGAGCCATTCTCTCTTCCAAACATAGGGAACGAATCCAAAGAATATCCTTATGGGGTTACTTGGAGCGTCCATCGTGATGGCACGGTGACGTTGGTTCACAACTGCGCTGAAATGGGTCGGCTGACTCAGCTCGAGCCGGTATGGGAGCTGAGTGAGCTGAATTGGCATAATCACAGGAAACTCCTTCAGGAAACCTGCGAGCGAATTTGGAAAGAGCCGAAGAAAACTCCCTGCTGGAATCAGAACTTCGGAAGGCTTCTTGTTCTGCTAGGGGAGCCCACGGAGCTCGCGGCTTGGGACGACGGAAATGGCCCAGACGCTCTGGGGTACAGGAGGCAGTTGCTGAACAAGCGGGTGCTTGTTGCTTTCCAGAAAGAAGGTGACAAGGGATGGTGGAACGCAGTCTCGCTCGGCAGAAAGATTCGAGTCGACGAGTCGATTTCGCGGCCCACTATACTAAGACCACAAAAAGCAGATATTTGCACTTCAGGCACTTAATGAACTTATAAGTATACTATAAGTTACTATTATCCTCCTAATATCTTGTTTAAATATGAGATCTGAAAATATGTTCTTTTAAGTTCCTCTAAATTTTTAGGTGAACTTATAACATAATAATGAAGATATAAGCAAATATAGGCGGTTATTATTTGCAAGTAAGTTAAACGAAGCGAAAATAAGTGAAAATAAGTGAAAATAAGTGAAAATAAGTGAAATAAGAGAAAATAAGGATGTTTTCTTTTTTTCGGCATTTTTCATGGATGATTTACAGGAATGTAGATGTGATCGGATACTGCCTGGAAAGAGTTTCTTTTGTAGGGAACAGTTCTCTGCAGGATACTGCCTGGAAAGATTTATTTCTTTAGGGAACAGTTCTCTCAAGGGTACTGCCTGTTTTTTTTTATTTTTCTGGTAGGGAACAGTTCTCTGCCGGTTACTGCCTGGAAAAATATTTTCTTATAGGGAACTATTCTCTGAAAAATACTGCCATATTTTTTTTTTTGGTGGTATAGTTCCTCCCAAGAAAAAAATGTTTTGTGTTAAGAACATTTCCTGTGAAGGATCGTTTTTGGAAATGTCATGAAGTTTTAAAAGAATAGATAAAGTTCTGGAGTGCATGCTTCCTGGATATGAAACGATGTCAGGCTAAAAAATTCTCTCAACAACCTTTCTTGCACAGAAGAAGCAAAGAAGCTTAGAGTTGCAGCTGCAGAAAAAAAATGCAAGAATGAATCAAACTGTTGAAAGTCATCTTCATCTGCTTCTGGCAACTTTGACACATTGGCATGAATATGATGAACCAAAAGAAGAAAAATCAAAAATTTAGATTCTCTTTCTTTTTTGGTTTTCTAATTTTTCTGGATTCTAACTTGTTTTGGCTAGTTTTTTTGAATTCTATTTTTTTAGGTTTTCTACAAAAATATGGATTCTATTTTCTTTAGGATTTTCTAAATTGTCTGGAGCCTATTTTTCTTTGATTTCCTGAATTTTCTGGATTCTATTGTTTTTTGTTTTTATATTTTTTTCTGGATTCTATTTTTTTTTAATTTCTGAATTTTCTGGATTCTGGATTTTCTATTTTTTCCAGATTCCATTTTTTTTTTGGTTTCTAAATTTTCTGGAATCTAGATTTTTAAGATTTCTGAATTTTCTGGATTCTGAATTTTCTATTTTTTTCCAGATTCTTTTTTTTTGGTTTCTAAATTTTCTGGAATCTAGATTTTTAAGGTTTCAAATTTTTCTGGCTTCTGAATTTTCTAAATTTTCTAGATTCCAGTTTTTTAGTTTCTAAATTTTCTGTTTTTTTTTAGATAAATTTCTGAATTTTCTGGATTCTGGATTTTCTATGTTTTCCAGATTCTATTTTTGTTTGTGGATTTTGAATTTTCTGGATTTTCTGAATTTATTGAATTTTCTGAATTCTGAATTTTCTGAATTTTCTGAATTTTCTGAATTATATATATATATTTATATTTATATATAAATTCTGAATTTTCTGAATTTCTGAATTTTCTGAATTTCTGAAATTTCTGAAAATTCTGAATTTCTAAATTTTTGAAATTTTCTGAGTTTTCTGAATTTTCTGAATTTTCTGGATTCTGAATTTTCTAGATTCCTTTTTTTTGGTTTCTAAATTTCTGGAATCTAGATTTTTAAGATTTCTGAATTTTCTGGATTCTGAATTTTCTAGATTCATTTTTTTGGTTTCTAAATTTTCTGAAATCAAGATTTTTAAGATTTCTGAATTTTCTGGATTCTGGATTTTCTATTTTTTCCAGATTCTTTTTTTGGTTTCTAAATCTTCTGGAATCTAGATTTTTAAGATTTCTGAATTTTCTGGATTCTGAATTTTTGGATTTTCTGAATTTTCTGAATTTTCCAGAAACTATTCAATACAGAAACTGTCAATTCCTTAAATTATATTTTCCAGAAACTGTTCACTACAGAAACTGTTTTGTCCTTAAATTATATTTTCCAGAAACTGTTCACTACAGAAACTGTTCTTTCCTTAAATTATATTTCACAGGAAGTTTTCACTACATAAACTGTCCTTTCCTAACAGTATACCTTACAGAAACTATTCACTACAGAAACTGTCCTTTCCTTAAATTAAATTTTCCAGAAACTGTTCACTACAGAAACTGTTTTGTCCTTAAATTATATTTCACAGGAAGTTTTCATTACATAAACTGTCCTTTCCTAACAGTATACCTTACAGAAACTATTCACTACAGAAACTGTCCTTTCCTTAAATTATATTTTCCAGAAACTGTTCACTACAGAAACTGTTTTGTCCTTAAATTATATTTCACAGGAAGTTTTCACTACAGAAACTGTCCTTTCCTTAAATTATATTTCATAGGGGGCTTTCATTATAGAAACTAACCTTTCCTTAAGTTATATTCATCAGAAACGGTTCACTACAGAAACTGTCCTTTCCTGACAGTATACCTTACAGAAACTGTTCACTACAGAAACTGTCCTTTCCTTAAATTATATTTCACAGGAAGTTTTCAATATAGAAACTGTCCTTTCCTTAAATTATATTTCCCAGAAACTGTTCACTACAGAAAGTGTCCTTTCCTGACAGCATACCTTTCCTGAAAGAAAGACAAAACATATCATTTATTCCAAAGGAAAAAAACCGACGGCTAATTTCAAAAAACGTATAAAAGAAAAATACATCGTCTATAATCAAATCTGATCCTAAAAAAATAAGTGCAAATAAGTGAAAATAAGTGAAAATAAGTGAAAATTAGTCAAAATAAGGAAAAATCACTTCTATGATAAGTTCATATAACTACTAATATCTTCATTAAGTGCCTAAAGTGAAAATATCTGCATTTTGTGGTCTTAGTAGCAGTTGTCGGTCAGTCTTGGAGTTGGCGGCTTATCCTGCGTCTGAGGTCAAAATTTTGGATTTTGCCTCAGTGGGAAGGAGCCCGAGAAGACGAAGTCCGGATTGGAGTCCTTGACGAGGAGCAGGAAGAGGCAGAGCCGTCCAGACAAGATCTCGCAACTGCCGCCAAGTTGGAAGCGGGCGTCCTTGAGTTTGAAGTCACAGGTTCGCTCAGAAGCGTTTGGTACGACGCTCAAAGGAAAGACGCCGGACTCGCAGGGCACCTCAGAAGGCCAGGGGATCCGTTCCGCATAGCGGAAGACGGGCTTCTCGAGAGAAGTGTCTCGCTTGACACTGGCGAAAAGGTTTGGGTATGCGTCGTACCTTTCGGTTCTAGTGGAATGCATGGGCTGACTTGGCGCAGAGCTTGTTTCGATCAGGTCCACAGTGGCGCCCTAGGCGGCCACAAGTCAGCGGATCGGACATACAAGATGTTGAGTCGCAAGGTCTGGTGGGCAGGGATGAAGGAAGACATTCAGAAGTGGACAGAGAAATGCCTCGTGTGTCTGAAGGCGCGCGGGCGGCCCACCAAGGTCACGGCTCAAGCCTCGCGGTGCCTTGCAGACAGCTGTTGGCAAGAGGTCTCGGTAGACTGTGAAGGGCCGAATCGTGAGGACAGGTGGGGGTTCAGGTATACCCTCACCTATCTGGACTGCTTGTCCCACGCGGTGTTGATTGAGCCTATGAAATCCCTGACCCACTCGGAGGTGAGAAGAGCATTCTCCAAGTGTTTGTTTCGGTCGCGGACAATTCCGACCATGGTGAGATCAGACCGAGGCACTGAATTTCGCAATGCTCTAATGACGGAATTTTGTGCTTTGATGGGTACCAAACAAAAGTTCTCCATGGGCATGCGACCTTGTGAGAATGGAACCAATGAAAGAATGCATCAGGAAGTGCAAAAGACGTTGCACGTGATCATTCAGGAGATTGCTCGAGGTGAGACTGACGAGTGGTCAGAGCTCCTGCCAGTGGCAGAATTTGTCCTCGACAACACTCCGGGGGCCCACGGGTACACACCGAGAGACCTGGAGCGATCCTGGTCGTTGGGTCTTGATTTGGAAAAAGACCTTGTCCGGGACAGCCTGAAGTTCGAGCCAATCAGCGACTGGGCAAGAAGGCAGTTCAGCCAGTTCGCTTCTTTAGCTCAGAAAGTGAAGAAGCATTGGGAGAATTCTTCAGCAGCCAGAGCAAAGCTGGCAAATCGATACAGAAGGACGTTAGACCTGAAGGTTGGTGACAGGGTTGTCTGGCAATCCCCTGTAGCCCGTCCATCGGGGGCGGGTCGGGTGCCGTGGAAGCGTGGATTGACCGGGCCTTGGGAAATTGCCGAGGTCAGAGGAAATCGGGTGATTCTGAAGAACGTCCACGAACCATCCCACAGTTCGGTCGATCCCTGAGCATCGGCTATTGATCCTAATCAATAAAACACATCAATTCTCTATTGATATTGATTTTCATCGTTTCTATTGAAAAAATCAATATTTTTGGACATTTCATGTTTTGATTTTTTTATTGAATTTTTGGGTCCCAAATGCATGGTTTTCTATTGATTTCCATATTGATTTTTTTATTGATCTCATGCTTGTGTTTTTTGGCTCCAGTACATAGTGTCATTCCCCTTGCCAAAAGGAGAATGACAAAAGGTGGCAGCAGGCATACAAAAAAACCCGAAGTAGATGTTGGCCTGCTGCTGACAGTTTTGACAGAGCACAGCTGCTTGGTCCAAAACCTTGGGGCCTATGAACATATAAGCAGAAACCAAAGTTGCCACCCAAAGGGTCTTGTCAAAGTTTTACCCTTGTCAAAAGGGTTGATCAAGCTGTCTGATACAGGAGAAATCCATAGTTCATGCCTCAGATCAGCTTTGATGAGCCTCCTCACAAACCAGCCCAAACTCAATGACAGCATATACAATGGTTCTGTATGGTGTGGCAGCAGGGTGGAAAGACTTGGAGTGATTCTGTTCCACATGAGGCGACTCAAATTTGCATCTAGTGAAATGAAACTTGCAACAGCCCACCTGACAGGGGCTGACCTTCAGAAACTGCAGGAGGTGTTAAATATGATGCAAAAGAAACATGAGATTGAGGATGGCCCCCTGCCCCTTGTCAAAAGGGAAGAGAGTGATGGTGAGCCACAAGCCACAAGAAAATTGAAAAAAGAAATCAGTGAAGTGAGCCTTGACAGCAATGGGTTCCCCAATTGCTTCAAGAGCCCCCAAGACAAAGGCACAGGGGCTGCTGCATCTTCCTTGTCAAAAGGGGATGCAGATGCTGCATCTTCCTTGCCAAAAGGAAATGAAGGTGCTGCATCTTCCTTGGCAAAAGGATCTGCAAAAGAAATGGACAGGCCTTCCTTCCTCAGGAGAAGGACAGGGCAGCACATAGTTCAAGAAACCACACAGGAAGAGAACAAAAATTTGCAAGATGCATTGGGCTTTGGAGGAGGGAAAAAAACTGTTAGCAAAAAAAAGAAAGAAGTAGAGGCAACAACAAAAATCCAGAAGAAACCTGCAGCCTCCTTGACAAAAGGAGGTCCAAGAGGATCCTTGCCAAAAGGAACCTCTACAGAAACCTTGTCAAAAGGTTCAGAAAAAAGAAAGCCATGGAAAAGGCTTACATGGGTGCAAACAAAGAAGGCACCTTGGAGAGCTTACATCAGTGGAAGCCACAAGCCAAATGCATTGGCAAAAGGTTGCAAGCTGATTGTGGAATGCAGACAGGCAAGGCACTTGAAGTATTTGGATGTTTTGGGGAAGATCTATGAGAAGCTGGAGAAGGAGCATCTTACAAAGGAAGAGGCCCTGCAATTGAGGACTGAGCTGGAAGCAAGCATGTGAAGCAAGCTTGCCTTGGCAAAAGGTATGGCTTAATCCTTTTTACTTTTGTTTGCACTTACACCTCAGCCTGGAACATGCTGCTTTGACAAAAAGCAGCTGCTTTGACAAAAAGCAGTTCTGGGCATGAGGTAGGTGTTTTTTTGCATACAGCAGCAAGCTCTTGCCAAAAGAGCTGCTGTCTTCAGCAGTGATCACATTCAAAGTGCAAAAATGAAGTGAGGGTCATGTGTGGGGAAAGTTGTAAAATCAAGAGAACATGGTTGGTTCAAGTGTTATATTTTGGTGACAGGGTGCCAGTTTTGTTTTCCACTTTGTTGTTTGTTTCTGGGTTCTTAGAAAACTGAATTTAATACCCAATGGGTTACTAATGTAAATCAGTAAGAACATATAACCCCTTGAAAATCTTATGCAGGGTGTAACAGCCTAGTAGCTGGGTTCTGAGTATGAGTGTGCCACAGCATGAGTTGAAACACTGTGTTTGTCTGCAGCTTTTTTTGGCTTCAAAACCGACCTTTTCAAAGGGGAAATAGCTGTGCTTTGGGTAGCTGAGTTAGCAGTTAGCCCTTGCCAAAAGGGCTGCCATGGCCAAAAGCAAGAACAACAAGGGCAAGGCAGCAGGCAGTGGGACTGTGTCCAATGCCAGGAGAGAAGGTACAAAAAGGCTTGCCAAGAGAGGGATAAGTTTCTGGAAACCTCAACAGATCTGGAAAAAGCAAAGGAGCTCCAAAGGGCCAACCAGAAAAAACAACAGGGTGGGCCCCAAGCAGGCAGCAGTGGGGCTGCACCTTCCATGGAGATGAAAGAAAAAAAGAAGGAAGAGGCTGCACCTTGTCAAAAGGAGCAGGAGGCTGCACCTTGTCAAAAGGAGCAGGAGGCTGCACCTTGTCAAAAGGAGCAGGCCAAGCAGCAGGTGGATGTGAAAGTTGAAAAGAAGAAGGAAGAGGCTGCACCTTGTCAAAAGGAGCAGGAGGCTGCACCTTGTCAAAAGGAGCAGGCCAAGCAGCAGGTGGATGTGAAAGTGGAAAAAGAAGAAGGAGGAGGCTGCACCTTGTCAAAAGGAGCAGGCCAAGAAAGAAGCTGAGGCACCAGCACATTGCCAAAAGGAGCTGGGGCCAAGCACCAGCCAAGTGGAGCTGGAAAAAAAAGAAAAAGAAAATAGACACAAAAGAACCAACCCACCTTCCAAAAAGGAGAAAAAAAGGGGGAATTTCTTTGAGTTCCTCAAGCTCTTCCAGCTCCACCAGTTCCACCAGCTCTGCACAGCAAGAGGCCAAAAGGCCAAAACCTGAAGTTGAAGCTCCTTGTCAAAAGGAAGCTTCAGCAAGGCAGTGGGTGAATGATGGGCACAGGTGGATCACCAAGGAGGAGGCCCAAAAAAGGATTGCCATTGACTACTTCCAGACCTTGATAAAAGGTTCAGGGCAGAAGCTGCATTGGGAAGACAGGGCAGCCTTGCAGAAGCTCAAGGACAAGGGCTACTACCTGATCCTCTTGAGCTACTGTGGTGTGGAAAGGTCAGAAGAGATCCTGCAGGATTTGGATGACCAGGACATGCTGAAGTATTTCGACAAAATCAGGTTCACCTGGAAAAAATGTGGCAGGCAGGGAAAGGCCACCTACTGCAGGGACAACCACATTCCATTCATCTTTGATGATTGCAAAGAGATTGTGGAAGAGTGCAGTGCCATGGGTGTCTACCCCTACAGGGTCAACACCAAAAGGCACACCCACACTGCTGGCCATTGGTACTTCTGCCAGGCAGTTGAGCAGTTCCTGAGGGACCAAAAGTAGGTCTTGCATGAGCCACTGAAAGGTGGCCTCCCAGCCCTTGACAAAAGGGTTGGCTGTATATGCAATGAAAGCTGGACTCTTGACAAAAGGGTTCTTGCCACTTAAATGAGTGGCCTTTCAACCCTTGACAAAAGGGTTCATTGTAGATCTATTTTTAGGTCCTTCAAGTAGCCAGCTGCCATGCCACCCTTGTCAAAAGGGTTGGCTGCCTGCCCATCCATGCATTTTGCATGTTTTTTTTACTTTCCAGCAACCCTTGTCAAAAGGGTTTGCCTGGATACTTTAGCAGTTTTGTGGTGGTGCCATGTTTTGTGTTCCCCCATGCATGGATTCACAAAGAAACAATAACCACTGACCCCATTGTTCATAAAACCTTCACATGTTTTTCTAGCCCCATGGCACCATCACAAGGTTCATGCATGTTGTACAGGACCATGCAGCCATTCCAGCAGGGATGAAAAAATGAGAAGGTTGTACTGAAGGGTTGGGGCCCCTTGGTTTGTTGCAGCAGCCTTGCCAAAAGGTTGCAACTGTTTTGTAATGATTTAAGTTTTAAAGTTTGGGTTCATTGAAACCACAAAAGGTCCCAAGGTTGGCTCTTGACAAAAGGGCATTGGAGGGATCCACAAAGCATGTTGTGGCTGGGGTACCCAAATCAAAAAAAAAACATTCACATTCATTTCAGTTCAAATTTCACTGGGGTTTGGGGCATGGTAATGATAAGAAATACATTTTGTCAAGGTAATTAATGTCAGTAGTTTGAAACAAGCAAACCTTTTGACAAGGTCCTTGCAATTTGTTTCATGTTTTTCACAAATGGTTTCATACAAATTCATCACAATTCAGAAACATTTTGAAAATGTCAAATTTGATCAAATTTGATCAAATTTGATCAAATCCTATATTTTCATCATTTTTGTTTTGGGGTCCAAATGCAAAATGATTCATGACAATTTGGGGTTGGTTCAATGGTTTGATTTGTGAAGTTTTTCCTGCTCAAGTGCAGTGGCAGCTGTTGCATCCTTGTCAAAAGGCTTGCTTGAAGCTTTGCTCTCTTGACAAAAGAGAGCTTTCAAGCCAGCCATGGGACCCAAGGCTATGAAAGCTATGAAAGCTGCCCCAAAGAAAGCAGCTATGAAAAGCTCAAAATCCAGTCCTTGTCAAAAGGACAAAAAATCTCGCCAAAAAGTGAGGAAGGGAGTTTTGAAAAAGAAAAATCTTGACAAACTGGGAAAGCTGACCTTATCAGAGAAAGTTGCTAAGGCTGCAGAAGGAGCTGAGACTGCTGAAGAAGCTGCCCAGGAGCTGAAAGGAATGTTATCCAAACAGGAACATTCCAGAGTGTGGTCCAAGTACAGCTGCCACCTGAAAGGGCAACCAAAGAAAGAACAAAAAGAATTTGATAAGGCAAGCAAGGTTGCAAAAGGAATGCTGGCTGCACTCCACATGGTGAAATCAAGTGTGCCAAAGTTTTTTCACTGCAGTGAAGTCTTGGAGGCCTCTTCCTCCTTGAAACAAAAGGAGAAATGGGTCTCTGAGACCAAAATGGTTGAGCAGTTTGGCCAAGAGGAATTTTGGCTCCACATTGAAAGTGGAAGGATCAGCTGGAGAGCTGACCCCTGGACCCCTGGGGTTTGGAATTACAAGGACAATGGGGACATAACAAAAACGACTGGTGTCAAAAAAGGCAAGGAATATAGAGCTGGCCAGGAATATACTGCAGGAGCAGAAGATGAAGAAGCATGGAACAGCTTCTATGGAAATGACACCCAGTGGCATTTGCATGATTGGCAATCTAAGGGCAAAGGAAAATCCTTGACAAAAGGAAAAACCAAAAGCAAAAGCAAGCAGAAAGGGGAAGGCACAGGCTTGCTGGCCATCAAGGATGGCTCTGCAGATGATGATGAAGAGAATCAAGATGATGAGGAAGATAAAGAGGAAGATGAGTGGAAGGACATTTCGTCCAAGGCTAAGAAGGCCAGAGACCAAAGCACCTCCCACATGGCAGATTGCCAAGCAGCACTTGAGTTGGCTGACGAAGCCAAAAGGCTGACCAAAACTGTGAAAACAGAGAGTGAGGATTTGCTCAAAGGAATGGCTAAGAAAACAAATGCACTCAAGGACCTTTTGGCAAAAAAGGACAAGTGGGGCAGCTTGGCAAAAGCAAAGGCCCTTCTTGTGGATGCTGCAAAAGAGATGAAAAAGACAAAGGAAGAAGCCAAAGAACTCAACCAATTGGCCAACAAGACCAATAGCAAAGCCTCCAAAAAGTAGGCTGAAATCTTCAAGCAGCTGCCTTGGTCCATCTCCTTGTCAAAAGGTGGTGGGGTCATCTTGTCAAAAGATGACTGGGCCCTCTTGCCAAAAGAGGGTGGCATTCCCTTGTCAAAAGGGAAATCCAGCTGCCAGTTTTTGATAGGCATAGCCAAAGGATCAACATCCTTGTCAAAAGGGTGGTTTGTGACATGACTGCTATCAATGGGGAAAAGGGTGCTTTGGGTTCCAGGCTGCTTGTTGTAGTTGTGCAAGTGTTTTTATACTTTTAGAGGGGAGGGCCCCACAAGTAAAGGGCAAAAGAAAACGATTTTTCCATGTTATCATTGGGGCTTCATTTTATACAATCATATGGTTCCAAGTGGTTAATGTATTTTTTAAGTTGTTAGCCTAAAGAGCTCTGCTTCTGCAGACCAGCCACACATGTTTGCATGCCTCTCCTTGCTTGTAGGCTCAAAGGTAGCCACAAGGAAACCACCCATGGTTTGCTGCTGCCACCTTGCCAAAAGGTGGCATGGAAAAGCCTCCTAAGAGATTGAGAGGCTGGAAGCTGGAAAAAGTAAAGGCATCACCTTCTTCTGAGAAACATCCTTGCCAAAAGGATGTGGATGATTCCCCTTTGGTGACCAGGTTGCTGGAGCTGTGGAGCCAAGGGAGGATCAGTGCCAGCCAAGCTGCTGAAATTGCACACCTAGCAAGCTTGGAAGGAGCTAACTCCCAAGAAGTTTTGAAAATAGCCAGGTGTGGAAACTTCCAACAATCTCCAGGCAACAGCCACAGAGATATGATGCAACTCTTCCTGAAGGGCTTGCAACTCTGTGACCCTTGGCCAGTTAAGGTGGAAGTGAAAGACCCCAAGAGCCAAAAGCATACAACAACAGAAGCATCAGTGATGCTACCACACCTTCTCTTCAGCAGCCTGTATGAGCACTACAGGGATCAATTTGAAGAACTCTTTGCTGTGAAGGAATGTGCCAGCTTCTGGCACAATCTAGAGAAGAAAGAAGATCCAAGGCTGGTGCCACCCATTACCCTTGACAAAAGGGTAGTCTCCCCAAGCACCACCATACCCATCTTTGTCCATGGAGATGGAGTGGAATTTGTGAGAGACAGCAGCCTAATGACATTCTCCTGGGGCAGCATGCTTTCACAACAGTCTAGTTTGGCAACACACCTTCTGCTGACAGCTTGGCCAAAATCTTGCCAAACACCCGATACATGGAAGCCTCTTGACAAAGTCATCAGCTGGAGCTTCAGTGCCTTGGCAAAAGGCTTCCACCCAACAGAAGATTGGGATGGAAAAGCCTTGACAAAAGGCATCCTTTTTGAGAAAGCTGGTCTTCCCTTGACAAAAGGGAAGTTCAGGGCTGTCATATACAGCATCCAAGGGGACCAAGAGTTCTATTCCAACTGCCTGAAGCTGGGCCACTGGCAGAGCAAACACCCCTGTCATGAGTGTGACTGCCAGAAACCTCATTACAAGAAGAAGGCATGCCCCCCAGGTAAAAGTTTCAAAATCTTGAAACAAGACTTGCAGGCATATGTTGATGTCACCCCAGGGCAGGCTCTCCTTGTTGAAAGGAGTCACCCCATCTTCTCTGTTCCTGGGGTTTCTTCTGCTTTGGTGAGAGCTGACAGCTTGCACATTCTCTACTCCAGAGGTGTGGGGTCACATTTAGCAGGATCACTTCTACACTACTGCTGCTATTTTGATGGCTCTTCAAGACAAAAGAAACCGCCTGCCACCAGATTGCAAACCTTGTTTGCCAAAATCAAGGAACTTTATTCCCTGCACAGAGTGAGTTGCAGACTCACAAACATTCGCCTTAGCATGTTCACAGATGTGACAGCACCACACAAAAAGTTTCCATGTCTTGATGCAAAAGCTGCTGAAACCAAGCACCTGCTGCCATGTCTCCTTCAAGTGCTGAAACAAGCCCTGCCAGAGGGTGTACCAATCCACACAGTCATGCTTGAATGTTTGGAGACCTTCATCCAACTGGGGGTGCACTTTGATGAGATGGATTTATTTCCAACAGCAGAGCAGCATGCCCAGACCATGGACCTTGCCAAAAGGTTCTTTGACACCTACCAGGATTTGCATGAATGGGCCTTGTCAAAAGGCAAAAAGTTATTTAACATAACTTTCAAGTTTCACAGCAGCAAGCATATGTACAAGAACAGCTACTTTTTGAATTACAGAATTCATTCAAATTTCAGGTCTGAAGACTTTGTTGGACATTTGTCCAGGCTTGCCCACTCTGTTTCCTTTGGGGTTAGTGCCCCAAGACTGTGTGGCAAAGTGTGCCAGAAATACCGAGTGCTTCTGCATTTGCAGTTGACAAGAGCTGCTTTTGGCTGCAGCTTTGAGTCAACAGATGACCCTTGACAAAAGGGTCAACCAATCCCAGTCCCCAAGGAACTGGGTATTTCTCTGCCAAGTGGCCTTGACAAAAGGACATTTACCTGCAAGTGCTGCAAAAAATGTGTTGCATGCTGCTCATGGAAGGTTTTGGAAGGAAGGGAAAATCATGAAAATCAGTAGTTATGGCATGCTTTGGCTTATTGATTTTCATCATCAAAAACAGCATTTTTTCTATTGTTTTTTTTGTTTTTTTTGCTATTGAAAATAGGCTTTTGAAATCAATTGCAGGGAAATGATTTCAAGTGCAAATCAATAGAACATGAACCCTATTGATTAGGATCAATAGCCGATGCTCAGGGGAAGCTCATTCTGAAGATTGTGTTTTGGTCCCAGCAGATGTGGAAGACACCCGAGACAATTCCCGCGAGGAGCTGTTCTTTGATGAAGGGTCGCCAGAGGATCCGCCGTCTTTAGGGCAACGTCTGAGAGGCGAAGGAGAGCAAAGAGAATTCGTCCTTCAACGCCGAGGTAGGCAATTCGTCTTGCGCATCGGCGACGTAGTTGCTTACACGAAAGGTCAGAAGATCTGCCATTTTGGCCGTGTGACTCAGGTGTCCGTCGAAGAAGCCACTGTTGGGGTCCACAAGTACCGCCCGATCCTAGGATCGTTGCGAGTCAAATGGGTACTCGCCTACTTGAACGAAGAAGGCACTGTGGACGACAATGGCACACAGCCGGTAATAGACCAGGTTAAGCTGAAAGAAGTTGTCACCAAGGCCGATATTAATCGAGATGGGGTCCTTGCTGCGAGTACCAGCCGGAAGTTGGATAAGGCAGGGTACAAGCTGTTGGAAGAGCGGGCTTCCTTCTTGGATTTCCGGGAGGAGCCGCCTTCGGCAGCCTCGGTTGACATGCTGCTTGCAACTTTGTGGGAAGGCTCTGTTGTTCACGGTCAAGTTTTCACGGTTTTGGACCAAGAGGTGAGTCGGTTGCAGGCGTGGTGAGCTCGATATGGAGTCCGTCCGGCAGGGTTTCTGGAAGTCTTTGCTGGGCACGCGGGACTCACGTCCGCGGCTCGCCGCGCTGGTGTGATTACAGGTCCCCCCGTCGATTCAGCTTATGAAGCGTACGGCCGCCGGTGGGATCTTTCGAGACAACTCGACCGGCAGCTATTAGATGTCATCATCAATTGGCTTACCCCGCTTTTGGTTCATTTCGGTCTTCCGTTTGAACATTACTGCAGAGAAGGAAAAGGAGCAATTTCAGCCGAAAACGAAGAGTTGCTCTCTTACTGTGTCTCTGTTCTTGCGCGTCGAAAAGAAAGAAAGAGCTATGGCTCTCTGGAGAATCCCGTCGGCAGCTCGGTGTTTCATCGAAGGAGCCTCACTGCTGCCGTAGGCACGTTGGCGAATCCGACTGAGCCGTGGGCCTTTGTGCGGACGGATGGCTGCCAATATGGTATGGTGTCTCAGGCGGTTGATGACGGGTCCCAGGGTACGCCGGTAGAACAGGGGCAGCTTTGGTTGTCCAACTTTGACCTATCCCCGTGTAGTTTGCGGTGTCGGAAACCAGGTGCTTTAGCTGTTACAGTGCATCCGCACCGGTCTGTCAGAGGATCTGTCAAGGTGCCTTTCGACGATGGAAGAGAGCATTGGACAAGCGCTGGAAATATGAGCGGTATCTATCCTACGGCATTCTGTGATGCGTACTGGAAGTGCGCCCCTCGCAGATCGGATCGCCCAGGCGGAGAATGGTCTGAGGGGCGAGGGATCCAATCTAGCCCAGCGTCGTGCTCCTCTTCCAGCGGGCTGCGTCAAGGTTTTCCTGACGTAGCCGCGGAATTGGCAGTCCCTGAGAAGGAGATTAAGGTCGAAGTTCCGCAGGCTGACGTCAACGTCAGTGCGGAGCTGACTGCCCGGGAAAGAGAACGCCTTGAGAAGGATCTCGCAGAATACTCGTCTAAGATGACGAAGTATTGGGATGATCGCGCAAGACATAAGGATTGGGAACAGGTCAAAAGCGATCTTTCCGTCTACCGTTTGAGCGGTCAGGAAGTGACAGAAGATCCACGTCGAACGTCCGAGTATAGGAAACAAGTCCTTGAAGGACTGGGGTTCGGAGACGGAGAAGGGAGGAAGTCAAAGCGCACGGGACAGCATTTCGAAGCCTGTCAAGAAGTCCTGGCGCGAAAGGCGGCGGCTTTCTGGTTGGAAGGATCCCCGCGCACCACCGTGCGCAACGTCGCCCATGACACCATCCCGACGGGACCGCCGGTGTCGCTGCAGCCTCACCATCTGAAGGGCGAAGCGGCCGCTTGGGTCGATGAACGCCTTGAGGAGGAGTGTCAGCGGGGCCAGTTGGTCCGCGGCACGTCGGCATGGGGTAGCCCTCCGTTTCCAACTCGCGAAGCTCCTGCTCATAAGAGGCACCGGAAAAGAAGACTCGTAGTCGATTACAGGCGAGTGAACTCCAGGGTTTTGCGGAGTACCTACTATTGTAGGAAGTCCTCCGACGTGTTGGCGCAGTGCTCCGGAAGCATCTTTTACAGCTTTGTAGATGCCGTGTCAGGATTTAACCAAATCGCCAACACTCGGCGGGCAATGGAAGTTCTTGCGATCGTGGCTCGCTCGGGGAAATTCCTCCCCATCTGCCTCACGTTCGGACCAATCAATGGACCGGACGACTTTTGTTTTGTTGTCGATCGAGCCTACGGGCCGGGGCGTGGAAGGAAGCTCCGCTATACCCGTGAATGGGTAGCATACGTCGACGACTTGACGATTAGAACAGGCAGGTGCATTGACGAGAGGCTCCTCACCGACGAAGAGCACGATCAGGAAATCAAAGATGCAATGCGTCACACTCCGGTGACAGTAGGGCAGGCGCCGACTGAAGCCATGAGAGCTTTAGGAGTCCGACCAGAAGGGCTCAGCGGACAGAAGTCGAAGCACGACGAAAAAGAGTCCGACCACAACCACCCAACCCGTGAGCGGTTCTTGGAGTTGGTTCACCCGAGAACGCCTGGTGTGGGTCTAGTCGGGCGCAACAAGGTGATCTGTAGGTGTAAAGTAGTATGTGGGACCGTTTGGTCTAAGGTGGGCCCACATGGTACTAAGGCGGTAGGTTCACGGAGGTTTCCGCCGCAGCTGTTTGGCTTTGGACGTCGGAGCGGACTGAGGAGGTCGCTCGACGGTTCAACTTATGCAGCTTTGGGGGCTCGTGCGTTGGACCATGAAAGCGCAGAAGCTCTTGCGGGACGGGATTGTGACTCACGACCTGTCCGCGTGACCCAGTCCTGGCTGGCAGCGGGAATAGTTCGCGCTTCGCGGCTCTTCCGCGCCATAGCCGGTAAGAAGGCCAAGGGTAGTAGCCACGGTAGAAGTGGTCAGAAAGGAAGCCACAATGGCAAAGGTTTTAAGTGCAGTCACCCTCGACCGGCGAGAGATGACTCTTCAGAAGAAGACTGGGGTCAGCCTCAAGAATCTGAAAGCGCAACTCGCGCAACAGAAGCGTTTCTGAAGGTCAAAAAGGAGCTGAGACTCCGCGGAAAGAGGAAGCGAGGAGGTACGAGGCACAAACGAAAGACTACCAAGAGGAAGCGAGCCGCGGCAGGGCCTGCGTTTCGCGGCTCTCGCGCGGCGCGGCCAAAAAGGAGTAAGAAGGAGGCTGCTAAACGTGGCAGCCTATGGGCCAGATCGAGGAAGGGCCGTAACAAGGCGGCCCACGCAGCACGTGGGAACGGGTGGAGCCAAGTGGCAGGG